CATTTATAATTTGAAACTATAAACCAAGCAATTTGTTATTATTAGTGGCCACAAGCCTTGTCGTTCGTGATTCTACAACTTAATTCTTTCTAATAGATAGATTTCGTCTGGAAGAGCAAAATGTATTCCCAAATTAAATCGAAATTATAGTTACCCTACTACGCCTACTCTAACATTGTATGAAAAACATTATTTTTGAGATTGCACACGTATAAACCTGTTCTGAAGACCCTTTCTTCTTGTAACAGTTTGACTGTATAATAATAATAACAATATTTTCACACATTTCACACACGACCATAGCACAGGCTCTGCCTAATTTGGGATCAGACAGCCCAAATTAGGCAGAGCCTGTGCTATGGTAACGAGACTGCTGATTAACATACATATATATTTCTAAATAAATACATATTTTAGATAAAGTACACCCAGACGCAGAACAAATGACCGTGTTCATCACCGAATTTTTTGTCCTGGGTGGGAATCGAACCCACGACCTGTGGCGTAGCAGTTTGGGTCAATCGAGTATAATCAACAAGCGTACGATTGCGCGGCCCTACGTTCTTAGGTAGATATTTCGTAAAATATTGATCTATAGCTTATTTATTTTTTTGACAAATTTAGTCTTCAATAATTGACAAAAAGAATTAGATCTCAAAGCTAGGTAGTTGCTGAGATCTCCGTGATCTCCACTTCCTTATTTCGTGTGCGTTACCCCAGCAAAATAATGTCGAAAATGGTCATTTAAACGTTATAGATAATTAGTTGCTCCCCTTCTGTAATTGTTAGGCACATTTTTAAATTTGTAAGTTGTTTCACTTAAACTTTTTTAGTTATTTCAAAAAAACATTTCCTGCTGGGGTAACGTTTGAAACGTTACCGCAGCCAGACATTTTCTTTTTTAATTGTAATATTGAAATAAATTTTAGCTACATAATTAGTTATCCGGACTAGGTAAATGTTACAACTTATTTGGTATTTGTATTTTCTTCGGCTGCGAAGTTATTCGAGATCCTGCTGGAGTAACGTTTGTGGGTTTGCTGGATCTCTGAAACGGGTAAGCGGATTGTAACCATCTTTTGTACATAACTTCTTAAGGATGAGTTTTAATTTGTTCGACAATAAAATAACAAAAATAATGGACCGTTTAAAAATTATTTAGGTAAGTATGAAAACACTTCAATACGTCCTAACACTTTAAATAAGACCTCTAAAGACTTACTTCAAACGTTATTCTATTGCTTGTATACCTAATAATATGTATATATGTAGGATATTATTTGCAAGTTTACTACGGATATGTACATAAGTGTTACAAAAAACTACATGTTTTTCAATAATTTTTATTTAGGATTGTTTATTGCATAATTAGTAATCAGCCGGGAGATTAGGTATTGTTTTGAATGCTTTTGTTTTCTCGTAATTTTAAGGTGAATTGTTTACAGTTGTTCATAGAATTGGTCCCTGTGTAGTATTTGTTAATTGAAGTTTATTTTAGGGTAGGTATAGGTAATTTAAGTTTTGAAGAGTGTAACGTATGCGTTGTAAATAGGTATTTTGTGAATAGATGGGGATTTTTTTAAGTGATGAATCGACTTAGGCTAGCATATCGCGAACAAACTCTGTATTGCATTATTTCTGCAATAATTTTAAAATATTTGATCACAAAATCGCGGTGAGTTAAATTATAATAAAATAAATTATTTATGTAAAATTAGTAATAAGTGATATACCTGCCTACAAGTTATGATCGTTTTTAATTTGTTCACCCTGAACGAAATTTCAATATAAGCATTAGTAATTAATATCCTAAGACAATAATTGACAATTACTTAAATTGAATCGAATTAGCATTAATGCCCATTATTCGTAATTAGGTACACACATATTGAAGAACTCTCAAGAATACGATAAATATTTTCAAAAATAGAAAGCGGAAGCGCACACGCACTTTACAAGACGTATATTATCTGCCTAAGGGTCAAGTTTAGTGCACTAGATGCAAATTGCAAACAATGAAGTATCCCTTCGCCCCTCCCCTCCCGCGTTCTAGCGAAGGAAGTATTATCGGTGATTCTTGATTGACAAATATTATCTGACCAATAATTTTATCTATAAAAATGTATCACTTTCACTCGATAAATTAAATTACCGTTATTATATCAAAATATCATTCAACAACTGTTCGTTTTTAACAGAAATCAACAGTCACGGGCTCAACGCTTAGTGGTAGGTACAAGATAATTCTCGGTTATCGGTATAGACCACAGAACAATATTACCTACTCTTACGAGGTATACGACTGTTGGGCGATGCAATGTTGATGCATTCTAATTTACAACTGTATTTTTCTACTATTCGGTCTATTTTAACTTATTGTAGATGACTTGTTGCTTTAAATATTTTGATGCATTCAAGTCTAAGCTCTATACACCTCAAAATAAAATACAATTACTTTAGTGTCATTTCTTTACAAAAAAAAATCAAAGAAATGAAACGATTTCTTATTGGTTTAAATTTTCGATTTATTGCAGCCAGGTGAATCGTTCATACATGTATTGTAGATACATGTATATTTCTAATTTTAGCGGACCAGTGCAGATTTTCTGTTGATTGTAGCTCCGGTAGTTAAAAAGACTAAAGAAATTTTAAGTAAAGAAACTAGTGCTTAAGATCAATTAGGAAAAAAAGAACAAAATAAATAATAGGTAATAATAATCAATAAATATTGAATGTATTTAACACTGCACGCAACTGTACCGAAATCGTAAGGTGTATTACACTAAACATTTTAAAAGACAGCGCAATGTACTGGGTGATCGCTTTTTTGTAACCACCTAAACATGGTCGGATTACCACGGACTTGCACCTTCTAATGACTTTTATTTAATTATCTCGTAAATTATTATATGTACGACGCTGAAATTCTACAGGTAGACAACTGAACTAAACAACTAATTATTGGCATAACATTCAGTTTATATATCCACACACAGGTTTATCGGTGGCCAAAAAAGGCCGCACACATTGTGATCGTGAACGTGGAGCTACATTTCATCATAACTTTTTAGTCTCTTACAGTATTCTTACGAAAATTCGTATACATTTGAAGGTAGTTACAAGCAATAGAATAACGTTTGAAGTAAGTCTTTAGAGGTCTTATTTAAAGTGTTAGGACGTGTTAAGTGTAAGTGTTAGGACGTATTGAAGTGTTTCATACTTACCTAAATAATTTTTAAACGGTCCATTATTTTTGTTATTTTATTGTCGAACAAATTAAAACTAATCCTTAAGAAGTTATGTACAAAAGATGGTTACAATCCGCTTACCCGTTTCAGAGATCCAGCAAACCCACAAACGTTACTCCAGCAGGATCTCGAATAACTTCGCAGCCGAAGAAAATACAAATACCAAATAAGTTGTAACATTTACCTAGTCCGGATAACTAATTATGTAGCTAAAATTTATTTCAATATTACAATTAAAAAAGAAAATGTCTGGCTGCGGTAACGTTTCAAACGTTACCCCAGCAGGAAATGTTTTTTTGAAATAACTAAAAAGTTTAAGTGAAACAAATTTAAAAATGTGCCTAACAATTACAGAAGGGGAGCAACTAATTATCTACGTTTAAATGACCATTTTCGACATTATTTTGCTGGGGTAACGCACACCCTTATTTCTACTTTGACAAATTTTTGATTTGTTCCATTCGATTTTGACAAATTTCGAAAAAATTTTAGCGACTTTTTTTTTCTGTTTCGATAATGTGTCTGAGCAATCCAAACGCTCACAACCCTTATAATAAAAAAGATTTTGTGGGTTACATAATGTCAAAAATAGTAATTTAAGTTATAGATAATTAGTTGCCACGCTTCTGTAATGGTTGCGCACATTTTATATGTTGCACTTATAGTTTTTAGTTATTTCACAAAATCATTTTCTGCTGGGGTAATTACCACAGCTAGATTTTCTTTTTAATTGGAATATGGAAATAAAAATTAGCTATTTAAATTTGTTGTCTAGACGAGGTAAATGTTGCAACTTATTTTGTGTTTGGTTTTTCTTCGTCTGCGTACTTATTATTCCAGATCCTGTTGGAGTAACGTTTGTGGGATAGCTGGATCTCTAAAACGGATAAGAGGATTTTAACCATCTTTTGGACATGACTTCTTAAGAATTAGTTTAAATTTTTATACAATAAATAAATCTTTACACTGCATTCTTTTTGAATGCAGTGTAAAGATTATTAAAGGATAAAACACTTCACACTTTGAATAAGACCTCTAAAGACTTCCTTGAGACGTTTTTTTTTGCTTTTAACTGCATTTACATGTATGTGAAGTTTCATTAGTAAGTATTCTGTGAGTTATTAAAAAAATGATGAAATGTAGCTCCCACGGTCACGGTCACAATGAGCGGACTTATTTGGCCACCGATAAACCTGTGTGTGGACACAAACTGAATGATAAATCAATAGTTCGTTGCTTAGTTCAGTTTTATACCTGTACAATTTCAGTGTAGTACATACAAAAGTAACGAGATAATTAAATAAAAATAAAAGTGATTAGGAAGTGCAAGACCGTGGTAACCCGACCTTGTTTAGGTGGTAACAAAAAAGCGATCGCGTAGTACATTATACTACTGTATTAATATGTAAACCCATTCTAAGAAATTTAAGCGTTTATATCATACTTTTTTTTTAGAAACCGACGTTACTTTTCGTACGGGAATAATAGGAGGAAATAAAATATACCTTCAATTTTTGAAAATATTTGTTTAATAACTAACACAACGTCATACGCGGCAGAGTTCATTTACAGATAATACCTACAACTAATAAGTCTCGTGTCGAACGTGTCGGTCTCTCGCGCACCACGTATACGTGGGCGCAGCCCGCCCCGCTCCTGGTCCCTGCGTCCGTCCTGCGTAGTACACACCGCGATACGGATTCTACGATGGTCCTGAGTCAAATTGAAAGTCGTCAGTTCCCACTGCGGCCATCACGAGAGCGCGACGGCGTCGTCGTCGTCGGGGGGAGGCGCCTCCAGCGGGCGCAACGCTTCCCGCAGTTCGACGAATCGGCGCTTAAACTGCAGGCCGCAGCCGCGCGAGCGCCGGAACTCCAGCAGCGTCCCGCCCGCGCCGTACCGCAGCGCGCACGCCCGCATGTGCAGCTCCGCCCCGCATTCGATCGCGAGCTGAGGGCACGAGCGAGAGGTCAGAGCGATCTCGAGGCGGCGATGCGGCGTCGCCGGAGAGAGACTCACCAGGTGGGGGTGCAGGCGGCGCCACACGTAGCCGCGCCGGCGCAGCGCGAGGCCGAGCGCGTGCAGCGCGCGCGAGGGCTCGGCGCGCAGCCACAGGCGCGTCATGCGGCGCACGAGCGGCGCGCGCGCGGAGCCGGAGGCGCGCAGCAGCAGGTCGTCGGCGGCGGCGGGCTGCGACGAGCTGATGAGCGCGTCCATGTCGGCGGCGGAGAGCGCGCCGGCCGCGTCGGCGGCGTCGGTCGTGTCGCAGCCGTCCGCGCGCGCCGGCTGCGAGCGCCACGCGCGCTCACACTCTGCGGACGCGACGTCGAACGGCATATCATTTGACACCCGCGACTACTCGATCGATGACAGATTCACTAGTGCGCCTTTACGAGAAGACTAGAAGCCGAGAGTCGGCAGAACGTAAAGAACTCCAGGGTCGATCAGTCGAGAGAGATAGTCGCAGGCCAAAATGAAGACGCAACGTTAGCTCGATCATCCGTTGTGTCTTCAATTTGGCCTCGCGAAGATTTCGGATCATACCGATACGATAGGATCCACCCATAACGAAGCTTTCGCTGTTTTTGGCTAACATGAAATAATTTTCGTTTCCGATCTCGTTTCTATTTGTATGTCCAATAACTAAATGTTGACATGCTTCATGGGAATATCGTGATCAAAAAAAACATGATCGGTTGCGCAGTCGCTCTTGAAAGTCTCGTCTGTATCGATTCCCTTCTTATTATTGGTACCTCGTTCTGTGACATAGGTACTGAGAACATTTACAGTAGTTAAAGTCTTATGCCTGCCTGCCGATCCTAGGTGAGAGTAGCATAATTAATACAGTCACCTTCAATATCCTTCCGATTGATTCATTTTAGTTCCTAATTAAATATTTATATTTAAAAAATCACAAAAATAAAGAACACGGCAAAGAACAAAGAACACAGAAGCACAAGTCGGTACACGTCGAGGGCGCGACGACGCGATGCTTTGGTAATCTAGCTTTATGAGCAATGAACACGTCATGGAGCTAAATCGCCAAAGCGCCGAGTCGCGCGATCTGGCGACTCGCAGCGGCGCCGCCCGGGGTGGGGGGGGGGGGGGGAGGGGGGGCCGACCTGCGTGCGGCGGCGTGTTGAGGCACCAGGCGGCTCCGAGACTGGCCCACTCAGAGTCACCTAGTACCTGACACGACCGCGCCGCACGACCCTCCTGTGGACACACACGCACCGAGCGCCCGCCGACCTATCGACACACGGACGCCCAAACGACAACACTGTATGCTGTTAAGAAATTACATTTATTATTTTAAAACGAGTGACGTCGAAAATTATTCTCACGTATGAGAACTCCCACAGTCGATCGGCATCTTCGTAACGTTATTTAAATATACAATATTACTCTAACTCCGTCTAAAACCAATGAGAAGACTAAATACGCAAAACAATTTCAGGTTATCGGTCGAATTTCACAGCGCGACCCGAAGTCGGCCGACTTATCTACCCCGTCGGGCGGGAGGTAAATATGTAAAACTGTGCAGTACTGACCGTGGCGCACCCATTCGTGGTCCAGCAGCGCGGAGAGGGGGGCCCGCGCGGTGGGCGCGGGGGCGAGCGCGCGCCTCAGCAGCGCCAGCGCGGGCGCGCTCAGCTTGCGCCAGGGGCCGCGCGCCGGCGGGCCTCCGCGCACGACGCCCTCGCTCCAGGCGCACCACTCCGCGTAGCGCGAGTCGTCGTCGCACGCACGCTCCCACGGCAGCTCTTCGAAAATACATAGCACGCCGTCAGCGATATCGGGTGAGGGCGGGGATGACGACTAAAACGTAAGACGAATAGCAGTCGTCGTCGAGAGACCGTCGAGCCGGAGAGCGACGCGAAGCGTTCGGCGCGACTCGTAACTTCGGTACCATAACTTTAGGGTCTGCGAGCACGCCTACAGCTAGGATACCAAAGAGACGAGCCGCGCGGCGGAGCGGCGACGGCGGCGGCGGGGGCGGGGGCGGCGGGGGGCTGCGGGAGCGCTCGGGACGCTCACCTCCGGCGAGCATGGCCAGCAGCACGAGCGCGGCGGCCCACAGGTCGGCGGGCGGCGCGCGGTAGGGCGCGGCGGGCGCGCGCAGCACCTCGGGCGCGGCGTACGGCACGGTGCCGCACACGCGCGACAGCAGCCGCTCGCGGCTTCCGTGTCTGTAACGACCGAGCCGATTAGAGCGACGCGCACACCGACGAAGGCGTTTAGAACGACCGTCTAGGACGATCGTGTTTATTTGTAATCCGACCATCATCCGAGTCTAAAATCATTGAAATATTCTGAGGGCAAATTAAACTTTTTATTGACAAAGTGAAAGGTCGGGAATGTAGGTATAGTACAAAATAACTACACGTGTCTACGACACATATACAGAATGTATATATTATATTTTACATAACGACAGACGCGCACCCACCGTCACTAAAGCCTACTACCAGTTAAATATATAGTCCATTTATTTTGCTCATTTACTAATAATCTCCGATATTAACATCTACACCGCCTTCATGCGTATTCCGTGCCAACAGTCTACGCACACTAACACAAGTTGGCGGCCGGAGGGAAGGCCCCGCGTGCTTCTGCTGTTTGATTAATTACGTTGCAGTTGTTAACCGTATGCGGTACTTGTTAATTTGTTTTCTTTGAAATTTTCTGTTTATCTCATTACAATATCATTTTTAATTTAAAAAAATGGGAAATTATAAAAAATTGATGAATTTTCCAATGATGAAAATTCCAATGATTCTCGACTCAGAATCAAGGTCTGAATACACTATTTCAGTATTCGTTACGATGTCCCTTACACCCTGTATATATATTTGTAATCCCCTTTTAATTTTTTGAAGAAGTTGTGTCTCCCCTGTTGAAGCGGCCAGTACCCTTAACTGAGATAAAATCATGTCAAGTCTATAAAGGTAGTGTCTAACAAATCTTACATTAGACCGAACTACTCGACTAGTCCAAGCGCAGGGGTGAAAAAAGTTTAGTCCAAAAAGTCTGATTTGGCTGACTCTGATTTTTAGAAAATCTGACTATCTGACCATTTCAACAGAATTGTAATGTAGATGTTAGGGATAAAAATAATAATTACTATTTAATAATTGGCCTGGTCCCTATAGCTAACCATTTTTTTTACGCGTGGAAACCACCCCCCTCGGGCTGTCATCCCACCAGGGTTTGCGGTGGGGCGGTGTGTCGGAATCGGACCGACTAAAACCACTCTGCGCCTGTAAAAGGAGGGATCCGGGAACTGCTGTTATTAAGACATCCGGACCCCTCCTAGCGCCAGCCCGCAACGGCGCGGGCACCACCTTCAGGTACATTCCCCATTTAGCCTAGCCGCAAGGGCACACTCATACTCTATAGTATAGAGTATGGGTGTGCAGACACTTAAATTTCATTTATTTGTATAGTCTATACAAATAAATAAAATTGAAGTGTCTGTTTGTAATGTTAAAATAATCGGTATTTTTCATATTCACAAGGTAATTTGCACGATACCAATGCCTAAAAACCAGTTTAAATATTTTTTGCTCGTTTGTTCGAGTAACCTTCAAAACGGCTGAACCGACTCTGATAATATTTTACTATCAGATAGCTGTCTATATAAGGAGTAATTTTGGCTATTTTTCTTGTTAGAAAAACCCTATAAAGTTTTGCCCGGTCCGGGAATGGAACCGGAGGCCTCATGGAGTGCAGTTGCCACTAAGGCAGTCACCACTAAGGCAGCGCTGTTCAAATTTGACGCGAACGAAGTACCAGCTAGTTTAAATATATTGCAGTTTGGTGTAATCTTATTATTTCGTGGACGTGGTTTGTTAAGTGAAGGTATCGCTGTTAAAAACACCGTGTCATTAACACTATTATTATACATATTTGCTCAGCAAGTGTCAAACTGATTTTCATACTAAAATGAGCGTTCTTCTTTCTTTCAAAGTTGCCATGGGTGTGGACCCCATACGAGGAACATGGGGACTAACGAGCAGACGGCTCACCTGGATAAGAGACCCCCCCCCCCCCCAAATCAGTACAAGTCGAACCTTGCCCATATATGCACGGTTTACCTTTTATCCACAAAAAGAAGTGTTGAAGGATAGCTGGTTCATTAATAAGTTGTGTAAAAGCGAAAGAAGGCGTGGGCAAAACCTAGTCACGATATTAGTATATTATATTATTTGGGACAGTAAACAGTTGTACAGTAGGTTGAGTCTTAAATACACCGGTGCTTTTGGTGTGCAAGTCTTATTCTAAATTGGTATAGTTCGTAATACACTGACAATGTTACCCTTAAACTTAGCGGCAGACAGTGCGAAGACGTCAACACTTTCAAAGTACATATTGTAGCCATTAACCATTAATGTGGCACTGAACAGGCGACCCGGCCTTACTGCGTCTTCGCACTGTGCGCGGTACACTATAGCACTACTTTTCATTGATAAGTAGGTAAGTTCGTTGTAATATCTAAAAAAAATGCTTATGTAGCCCATTCATATCGTCCGGTATGGATAATGGATTTTAATGGCGTAATTAACATTAACTGTAAGACGTAATGTCAATAACTTTATTAGTATTCTATTTGTAGTCCTCCATACAAACGGATGACTTAATAAAGGTATGATATAACAAAAAGTAGATAATTCACCTACAAGAGACTGAACATAATATGTCTAACAAATGTGTACGACGGCCCCTTGCACAAAATTGCACTCATTGTAACTGAAACATTTAACACGTTTCGCAATATGTACAATAAACTCAACCTTAAATAAATCACTTCGATTTCGGTTACACCTGTCAATTTATATCATCGAACTGTCGAGTCGCAGACTTACTCATTGTGTGAGACTAGCTGGCTAATATTTTTACCTCAACTGATGCAAAAAAAAAGACGTTTGTGTTTGCGTGTGTGTGGTTCGTGGACAAGGTCGCCATACGTGACGTCGCTCGTATCAATTATGAGGCCGTGCGTGAACTCGACGCAACACCAGTGGTGCACTCGAATACAGAGGCTTTAAGTAAACGTACCTCACCTGAAGAGCGTCGCCATGCCGAAGTCCGATATCTTGACGTTGTCGTTCTGGTCGAGCAGCAGGTTCTCCGGCTTGATGTCGCGGTGAGCCACGCCGCGCGCGTGCAGGTACTGTAGGCCCGCCAGCAGCTGGCGCCAGTAGCGGCGCGCCTGCGCCTCGCACATGCCCAAGTCGGGCTCGATGCGGTCGAACAGCTCGCCGCCCGCAGCGTACTCCAGGAACATGTAGTGCTGGCCCGCGTGCACGCGCTCGCCCAGGCAGCGCAGCACGTGCGGGTGGCGCAGCGCGCGGTGCAGGGCGGCCTCGCGCGCGGCGCCCGCCTGAGCCTCGGCGTCCGCGCCGGCGCCGCGCACCACCTTCAGCGCCACGGCGGCGCCGGAGCGCGCGTGAACCAGCAGCCGGACCCTGCGCCGAACGCGGTGTCTCGAGTACAGGCCGACACTGCAGGCCGCGTGGAGCGAGGCGACGGAGGCGGCGCTGACCGCGCGGGGTGGATAAACTTTCAAGGATGCGCCGCCGCCGCGCCGTGACTCGCTCGCCTAGCGTTTTTTTTCACCGAATTGCAGTGTCGATCTAGTTCCGCGTTCGCCTAGCGTCGCAGAGAGCGCGTCCTCCGCTCCTCTAATATTTTCAACATTATGCGATCGGCGACGTTTGGCTGTTCATTTTTTTTTATTTTTTTACCTGAACTGGCCCGTTAGGGCGTTTAAATGAATAATAATGCTTCGTCAATAATTAACTTTTACAATAACTGCAACCGACTGATCTTTGTCTCTAAAAACTTTTAATTGACATTTAACCCTACTATCTTTTCGATCACTTTGAATTACACTATTTCAAATTTTAATGGTCAGCTTGGATGAGCAACAAATTGGGTGTGACAACATCCATACAAGAAACATATATTAATAGAAACATTTTAACTGCCCACCCTAGGGTAGTGAAAACATCATGCTTAAGTGATGAAATACACAATTATTTAAATAAGAACAAAAAAAGACTAAAAATACTGACAATATGATAACAGACATGGAAAAATAAAATGGTTTCAAATAAAGAAATGCAATGCTAGCCTTAGTCGTTTTTCGCTCAGGATATTAGCTTTGCCATTTTTGATTTAGCTGAGGCCAAAGAACCTGTTAATTAGTCGAACTGAGATCTGATGCCATCATAACTTTTACACATGCAATATGCAGCTGAATGCTGTCCAATATTCCGAAACGGAAGAACTGCTTATTTTAAGAAGTCGCAGATTATTATTAGCGCGTCTACCGCAATGATTAAATTCGATGAAATAGCTAACCACCACCGGTCAGACGCCCAGGGCAAAGATAAGCGGTACCAAGTGCAGCGACAGATTGGGCGCCTCACTTCTACAGTCACCACTTCGCCGTTTGTGACCGGCTTCTCATACACATCATACACTGCACTAGATTACAACGGTGATGGTCATTGGAAAACGGAAAACCTCCCTACTCTCGGCCTATGGGTACTTAAAATACAGTCAATAATGTGTTAACGTAGCACACATAATTTAATATGTATTCTATTTATTTTTTATTTGTAAATTATTTAACATTTCTAAAAATTTACAAAATATCGTACCCGAACAAGTTCGAAAATGGTAAAATGACGATGATATTTTATCGAGAGACTGTTCTTTAAAACGACTTGAACATTAATATAATCTATTGAAGTCTTCCAACCTACACTAATCGCATCAGTGGTCACGTCGCGTAACACTGCACGTCGACCATCGGTCCACCTTTACTTACTAGTTATTAACAATTAATGTAACTCGGCGACACGTGTAAAAAAACTACATTGTGTGTGACATGTCTCGCTAACCGTCGTCGTCCATAGAGGCACTTGTCATTATTAATGGACACGATTTATATGATTAGTCCGCCCTGAGCCCCTCAACCTGAATGTCCGTTCACCTGTAGCAAATAGGAAGGAAACCCCTTCACTGTGATTTTACAACAGCACTTAAAGTAAGCGTGTCTTACCTCCTCTAAAGATGCGGAGAACCTTTTTTTTGCGGCCGTTTTATATGATAATGCTACATACTATATTCATTTAAACGATAACATCCGACCAGAGCGAAGCAACATTCGAAAACAGAAAGACTTGGATACCAGCTATGGCTTCTCCCCTTGCAGATGTTCCTAACGGTTCTCAAGTCGCGACCATTACACAAGGGAGCAGCATTTTTGTTGCATGAAATATTATGACTAATATTATACTCTCTGGGGATACTTTTTTTAAAAATCAGTCTTGTTACTATTAAAGTTTTCAACCTTCATCAACCTTATTTTTAGACCCAGGTCTGACTAGTGCACTGAGTTGGGCTCAGAAGAAATATCTGGGTTAGAACCTGTCCTACTTTATCACTTGAAGAGCTTTTTTTCTTGCAACTCGTGATCATTTTGTGTGGATGAAGAAGATGGGGTACTGGCGCATCGCCGGCGCACAGTACTGGTCGAGTAATAGATAACAAGTTACCACACACAAATAACAATCGTCTTGATGATTGGCAGGTTCCTGCTACATCATTGGTGTTTGATACTTTTAGATAAGAAAAAAAAAAGCAAGACAGAATGGGGTCTATTCTTTTTCACCCATTTTCTTAAAGACTACACAAGTTTTACATACCATATGAGGGACCCAGTACTTGGCACAGATGTCCAAAGGGAATCCAAAGTAATCAAAATACACCTGTTTTATGAACTCCAACATACTTAGTCTACAATTTTTAAATTATATTCACCACAGATGTTATAAAAATAGAATAGTTTGGGATATTTCTCGACGTTCGCATTGTGAAACAAAAAAAAATTAAAAAAAAAACAGCTCAGTTGATTTGAAGTTTAAATGTAACTAGTACAAAAATATGTCTGATAGGTGTATCTTAAAAACTAGAGCTGCTAAAGAAAATATGAGGGTAGATTTGAAATCAGCGACCTCAAATTAGTAAACAACAGGCATAAAATTCCATGCAACAAAATAAAAGTTTAATTTTGTTCCAGTGTTATTCAATGTCAGATCAAGGAGCGATTTATGCAATCTACATGGACACTTCATGTTGCTATCGACAATAAGGTATTAGCTTATTTATGTCCTTGGTGGTATACCATAGATTAAGATTTTTATGGTGATGCTTGACGTCTTTTAGCAGGTACATCAGATCATTTTGTGTCTAACAATGGAAAGTACTTACTGCAAAATATTTTTATTACCCACAGGAATTTAAATATATGAAGTATCTAACAAGTTTCAAGTAGTGACCGGGTTGATCAGGTAAATGTACCCCCCATATTCAGAACATAAGAAAAAAACAAAGTTGTGTCTGCCTTTGATTTAAGAACCAGTGCCAGTATTTAGTATGAACCATTTACATATATCTTTCTTCATGAAGGACTTTGTACGCAACAACAAAGGTCAAACCTGTAGGTGATTTGCTTATAGCCAGGCTTATTATCTCCATGACCTACCTCCTTCAACCATCATTTGTTTTTTATGCAGTTGCTATCTTACTGAATTTCTTTAATTTCACACCAATATTCATGGAATATTAACAAACATTTTTTTAAATTAATCTTTTATAGTGTCCGTTTGTGATGCATGAATAATTAGACAGAAATGTCAAAATAATCTTATGTGGGTACAACAAAAACCTCATTTCGGAGGCACTTACAACCAACCACATTTTTATTTTAGTTGATAGATTAAACCAAGTACAAATAATAATAGTTGCAATCAATAAATAACTGTTTTCAAACAGCTCTGGGTGTTTCTCCAAGTAGTAATACATGTACTTACAATAAATGTATCATATGTTAACCATGTTCCAGTTCTGTTGGTATACAAACTATGCTCAGTTTGTGATACGGGACTAAGCAATTTATGTACACAATTATCATATACATGTATGTATATACAGACAGGGGAAAACGTAAACAAGGGACACCCTCATGACTTCTTCATTACAATAGGCAGTTGTGATTTAGTCTAAAGTATGAAATAAATGAGTAATAGGCTTTTCCCACATATTAATTCTATTGGATAAATATAACTATAAATGAAACAACACCGTTTGTTGTTACTAAGCAAGGAACAATACATCCAGTTTATGAATTTGTGGACACATTAGACTTAGAAATATATCATCACAACTATTTTTATAAGTAAATATATTATTATAGATACTGACTAAAAGCTAAGTATGAACAAAATCCCAGATTGTTCTCTAAGATTTTTCTAAAAAATTCACATCATAAATATGTTCAGTAGGTGCCAGACACACCTCACTCAACACAAATTACACTGTCTTTTCTAATTCACCCTGAACTACTTCAACATTGTAAAATGTTACACATACTTACCTAATTTATAGACTTTTGGTAACAACATTGTTAGTATACAGACTACTTCTTTTTTAAACCATTTTAATTGTTTAAAATGTCTGACAAGACTAACAAATAATTACAATATAATTTGTAACATTACCAGTAAGAATATCTATCTACCCTACAAAATTAACCCACCCTGAAATTATGACCATCCGTTTTCAAAATCCACTTGATTTTTGTAATGATAATTGTTAAGAAAAAACTGATTTATTTCATAAATAACAATAAAATTATAAAAATAATAGCTTACTCTCCGTATGCACCTTCTCCTAAGACTTGCGCGACGAGCCAGCCATCGACGAACTCGCCGCCGGCCGCCATCGTCCTCCCTCGCGCTGTCACCTGCAACATTAGCGAGCTGTCCAGTAACTCTGCACTCCACGCCGTCCTTATCATCGCCGGCAAGCTACTTACGACGGCCAACGAAGTCTCCGCCTAATTCCTACTGTTACTACACACTACGTTTCGCCGAACACGACCACGCTGCCGGGTTGCGGCGTTATTTGTTACTCTAGATTAATTCAAATACAGTAAAATAGGTATTCCTATAAGCGCATCTATGAATTTCATAATAATTGGCGTTAAGAAATTAAAAGAATATTGAGAATGTTTCGATAAAACTGTTCTAAATGGCGGAAGGCACGTGGAGATGAGCGAACAAAGCGAAAGCCGAACGGCGCCGTCGCCTGTCTGTCGACAGCTCGCCACACAATGCGATAACGGTAATCGCTCTTCCAAAATTGCAAAAATTGGCACGATATTTTGGGAAAGAGATTTTTAACCCCTGTAGTGTAAATGCACTGAAAATTAAATAATGGTAATCTGTACACTAACCTTCTGAATTTGATCAATGGATCACACCATTTTGCCATTTTCTTTTCTTCTACGCCCGTTTTGTCCGTTCACCAATCGCCATTCCCATTCGCTCGCTGTTTCGCCGATTATCCGAAACAAGCACGAACCAACCGCACGAACCCTGCGTTTCGGAACGTCATTGTTTGACAATTTAGCATTAAGTGTGTGACCAAGACAAAAAGTGTATGTTTCAGATTTTTGGTAAGCATTTTCCAAAATTGTTTTCATCCAATAACTCTTAATTTGCATATTTGTAATGAAGTTGAAGGTTATTGATATTACATTTTTAGATTGTAATCTTGAAATATTTTTTTCAAAACAACTGAAAAAGTACCTACAAAATTCTGACTTTTAGCATTCAAATGTGTAATTTTACAATAAATTGCCAACTGTTAAATTTCAAAAAAATATATCTGAAAACAATACAATCACTTAATTTTTACTCGTAATTCTATCTTTTCTTATTCTGCTAAGATCTGCCAAGATTATGATTAGGTAAAATGACTGCTAAGTTCCGTGGAAGTTGATTCCTAGAATCTATGTGTAGATATATTATTTTGACAACATTAATGTGGGCAAGAAACTAATAATTTCTAAATTGATTATGACAAGTCCATTTAACACAGTGAAAATAGAATATTACTTACAACTTTTACACTATTAGGATCGTAAACTTATAATATTTTATGAATAAATCACATTCAAAGAATACAAAACTAACTCGCACGGTAAATGTTCTGACAAAATATTTCGGAACTTCTGATTGTGATTTGTGACGATAATTCTCAGATGATTAATACTGTAAACAAGTTCATTACGTGTTATAGGTAAACAACTAATAAACTTTTATGGTACAGAAATTTGATGTTCCTGGCTTAGGAACTTGCTCAGAATGAGTATGCTTTTGAAACTACACATACAAAAATAGTTGAGCTAAAGACACCTGACGTTACTCAATTAATAAAAACGATGAATAGTTTTAAATTATATTTAATCACATTCGAACTGAAAAAGTGTGCAGGTCTCACTATATTTTTTCAGATGAAAATCTTCATTTTGAGTGCTTAGCCAAGGTTACCACAATACACACAACACAGAGCGATAAAAAACAAACTTTTTTTAAATATAAGAACAAAAAATAGGTTGTAGTGTGAGAAAAACGATGAAAATTAGAGTTGCTGAAGCATTATTTTTGGGGCCATAGTGGTGGATTGAAAGAGAGAGAGAGCGACATTAAACTTGTTTTGGTCGTTTCTACAAAAAACTTTATGCTGGTAACACACAATACACACCCTTTAATTATAAACTCGTATAACTCATTTTATCATATTTTTAATATCTCATCAACTGTGATTTATCATTCGATTTTTGGGTACGTAGATTAGGGTTGCTAAATAGGTAGATTAGACGCTATTTAACAGTCAATCTAGTATGCTTTTAATTATAATGTAAGGAATGGTAGCTATATATATTAAATTAATTACTAGATTTTCTGTTAAATAGGCGAAATAGGGTCTTTAGGGTCGTCTGAAAACGGCTTATTGGCAACAACCCGTGAGTAAGTAATAACCCAATCCTGCATACGAAAAAATCGAATGATAAATCACTGGTCTTTCGTAGTTTACTGTGATTTTGACCCATGCCTTATTTTCCTTTTTTTCATCAAACTTGTTTATATATATTTAGTTAAGGCTTTATAAGTCAAAAATTAAATAATGTAAGCACGTAAACATTATTTTTTAATAAACAAATCCATTTAAGAATAAGGATGGGAGATAAAAAATCGATGAAAAATTAGTAATATAAGACGTACATATTGAAACGTACATTTTTTAATAGACTTAATTGTATTGCACTTGTTAATAAGAGGTACTGACATTAGTAACTTTACTAACTTGCTCGTGCAACTTATTCTGCGTACAATTAGTATAACATCTCAATATAATAAAAGTATAATCAATTTCGGTTTTCATAAACTGCGTCAAAAATGTATTTTTTGAATGTACAACTGCTATCTTTCTGGAGTTTTATTTATTATCATTTCGAATACTAATTTACAATCATAGCATGCTAAATTTGACGTAATCATTGGTATGAATACATCGAAAGACGAACAAATAAAGTAGCAAAATAATAACATGTATAGAGGAATAGCAACAATATACTTACTTTTTGTATACCCATAGAAACAACAATAGGTTCAGCTTTTGGTTTTCCTATACGTCCATTGTTATCCTTATCATAATTATGCATCCTTTTAAACTCATACTCTAAGATTTCGTATTCATAAGACTAAAGTACTATTTTTTTGCCCACTACTGAAACCACTGCTGACAATTCGAAAGAGTTGAGAAACTCTTCAGGAGGTTTATGATATCACTTGTTGTACATAGTGCCTATTTTTCTCCTAGATCTTGCAAATAAACACTTTCTTTTACATTTAAAACTTTCAGATCGGGTAATATGTTAGCGTACAACCAATTATGCATTAAAGAAGATGAACACGTCAAATATAGTTGAACATTTAAATGCTGATCTTGATGATGTATTGCATGCTTTGACTTTGACTAGATAAAATCATACCAATGAGCCTCTGTATTCATTCGTAAGGTCACTGTCATGCATAACTATCAAGGGCCCCTTTTTTCTGCGTTGGGAATTGCTATAAGTTTAATATCTGTATCCGTGTGTCTATCTGCGGTATCAAAGCTCATAAACTATTACTAACATAGGGGAACACAGGCCACCGGCGGACCGAAGGGCAGTAGCCATAGCGTGTTTTCGCGATACAAAATAGTCTGTCAATTTTTGCGGGGGGGAGGGACATATGACTCATACAAAAACAATTTGCTGACACTACGCAACAATTAAAATAACACATTGACAATTCCACATACACCTATACACATTATGTGTAATAACAGTGTTATGAAGTGACGCACAACATTGACATGTTGGGAACAACCGTGGCTGTAATAACCATCGATACGCAATACGAATATCGATATATTCGAGAAGACGGTTAGGGAAATCAGGTTTAAAAAGTGAGACAAAGGTGGATATTTATATCGATAGTACTTTATTTATTACTACACTAATCATCACTGATGTTACTATTAGCTTTATCTATCACTGATTTTCAAACTGGATTCATTTTTGTAAATATGTCGAATACATTTCTGTGGATTAGCTTTTTTCATTAAGAGTGTTCCATCCTTCTATTGTTCGTCAACACTTAAGAGTCAGAGGTCTTGGAATGATCTGAGCAAATGATACTGTTTCTTGTATATAGATCCAGGTAAGATGTTTGTTATTACAAAATTTCTTCTATATAGCCTTTAAGCTCGAATCTTTAGAAAACCTGTAATAAATAAAAATAACAATGTCATCATAGTTCACACTTAGTAATTTTAATATAATGTGTAATACTCGTAAATATGTATTATATTTAATTGGACGCAATTTTACAATTAAACTATATTAAAATAAAGCTCAAAATTCACATAATTATATTAATTTTATCAGAAAACATAATTTTATAAATTATAATATTCACGAGAAACATGGATGTATTTATGTTTTATCGATATCTATTTACTAACCGGTAACAATTCGAAAACAATACAAGTGTTATTTTCGTAAATTTTAAGTTCAAAATGAGTATACAGTAATAATTTGATTAAAAATTACTTACATATGAAAGGTAATACCATCTTCATGTAAACTTGACGTGGCTAAGCTCTTTTTGAAGCAAAACACTGAACAATTCGGCATTTTTGTAGTACGGTTACTGTCGTCTACTTAGCAGCGCAACTAGATTTAGTCTAGTGAGCGGTCCGGCCGCAACTAGTTTTATTGTACGCATATGACCGTGTGGACTTATATGTACTTTAGCAGAGGGAAATGCCTGCGTATGGCCACTCCCTAGCGTGTTACTCTATGATTACTAAACTTAAGTTATCAGTGTTATCACCATAGTTACTGTATACTCGTAGTTATTGCCGTTATCGATACTACCACTTCTATGTCGATTTTATTTAGCCACGGCCAACCCTACCTAGGAGGACATGAGGTACACTATTTGTCATTCAATTGTTTTGTTGAGTTTGAGTATTACTTAGACAAGTTAAACACGATCACATACTTGTTTATGAGTCATCGTACAAATTAGATTAGGAAGAATTCTTTAAATTCAATCATTAAAAATATGGTAAAATCGATCATAAAATCCGTAATACTTATCGTGTTTTATATAGTCAATTAATTATTTCAATTGTGTCTAAAAAATAATGTAACTGTTACAGGCTGGATACTCGGAAGATCAATTGGCAGGTGAGGAGTAATTTGTTAACTACAAGAGTGATTACAAGACCGTTCTGATATAAACAAGTCACGTATCGCTTATTGGTAAACACAAACAATAGTTAGTGTGATGCGAGCCGAGGCAGTTGGTCTCGGCCGTTGCGGCAAGCGGCGCGGGGAGACGCGATGTGGCGCTCGCTTAATTCGTGACTCATGTCATGTCAATCAACGTCTTTACCGAAAGCGGTGGTTGTTACAAGCGCCCTAGTTTCCTTATATGGCTCGTATTTTAAAGCGAGCCAGGTGTCGCGTCTGGCCGCTGGCCTCGCTGCGCACGGGGACGGTGAGTAGTTAGCTTATTGCAGTTTACGGTTACACGTCTCGGGAGCAACATGTTTATGTACGAGCCTCCCACCAAGCTGAAGCTAACATCGGTCGAAGGTATGTGCCTAACGGCGACAGTGAGCCGCATCTGACCCTTTCATTACAATGGTGCAGTACACAAGTTATCAAGTTAATGTGTAAAGTAGGTCAAGTTACTCATTTCGCAATGTTGTAGAATTTCAGGAGGCTTTCCAGTTGTTTGATTCACGTGGAGATGGCAAGATCCATGTCGCCCAGATTGGTGATGCTTTGAGAGCCCTGGGACAAAACCCCACCGAGTCGGATGTTAAAAAATGCACTCTACATTTAAAACCTGATGAGAGAATTTCTTTTGAAGTGTTTTTGCCCATCTATCAGGTAATTTAAGTGACATAGCGTTTGTAAGTACCTACACAGACACAACAATAAACAGGATAATGTTATTTTAGCTAGTTAATGAAGATATTTGTACTTTATGTAAAAAGTAATTAGTTTGGTTTTAGCTTTATCTATTGCATTGTTTTTACCTGAATCTATTTTTAGTGCAATTGGTAATGTGGCAACAAGATCACCAATGTTGTCAACTGTCCTTGACGCTCAGAGGCAGAGGGATTCGCAGAGGGCTGTTCCCCTAATATATGCTTCTCTAATTGCAGGCCATATCTAAAGCACGCAGTGGTGACACAGCCAATGACTTTATTGAGGGTCTGAGGCACTTTGACAAGGATGGCAATGGATTCATATCATCTGCGGAACTGCGCCACTTGCTCTCCACCCTAGGAGAGAAACTTAGTGATGATGAGGTAATGATACATTGATATTGCACTCTATTTGTCAGTTCGTTGACACTTTGACATATCCCCTTTCTGCTTAATTCACACCACAGCAGCATATATTTTGAATTCATAGAAACAATAAATATTCATAACCATTTAACATTGGCAATAATAGTGTTATAGTAAATGATTTGAAATAACCATTCCATTCCTTTTTGTTAAATTTTGTTCTTATTTGATTAAACTGATTTAGTATCTTCACTGATGAATGTTAGAGAAAAGTCCCAGAAGCTCCACGGCTAAGGAAAAAACGAATATCAAGGCTTGGGGTTATCACTATTCTTGGAATTAAGGCTGCTAATAGATGTAAATATTGATATGTATATCGTAAGCACGAAAATATCGATAATCGATCATTTCGTCAATTTCAAATCGATATTGTTGATAATTTTCAGAGAGTTATTAACCAAAACAAAATAATATTTTTATCAATAGAGCCTAAAGACAGTGGTTTAGACCGTATTTTTCAAAGCAGTTGATTCAAAATAAATATCGGTATTTAAAGGATTTTGCTATATATTATGAAAATATTGTATCGGAAATTTGTGGGTTGATATTATTAAAATTGGATTTATTGTTGCAAACATCAATCATAGGTACCTAAAAACACTTATAAATATATATATAAGACCATAAAACAATGTTTTTCTTTGTATAAGAGCACATTAGAAGATTTCTGTTGTTGACCATATGCTAACTTGTGGTCAGTTATGTACACTTCTGTTATGTTCACACCACATGGGATTAAAAAAATATAACTTGAACACAAATAAGAGCCAGTAGGTTTGAACTGATAACACGGCGGTGGCGTGCGCAGGTGGAGCAGCTGCTGCAGGGCCAGGAGGACTCCCAGGGCAACATCAACTACGAGAACTTCGTGCACCTCATCATGCAGGGCTGAGCGTCGCGCCACAGACCTGCCTTACTAAGTTATATAGTTAGAGTTTAATTATAGCGTTTATATACATATATATGATATGTAGGGAGGGAGGGGTGACGTGACGCGCGCATTTACCCGAACGTAGACTGTGTATCGAAACGTACGATTCCGTATTTGTATTCCCGTTCAAATGTATTCCAAAATTATATTAATTTAATATTTTAAGCATCCGCATGTTTGTACAGGTAATAAAGTATTTGTAACAATGACTAGTTTTGTACTTTAGAAGGCATGCTAAATCCTAAGCCTCCGTGGCTCCGTGGCTCCGTGTGCGATCTAGGTTCTGACATATAATTACGCACAATTAGCCTACCTTATTGGTCTTCATTTGATTAAACACTGCACTTATTATTTATTACATATATATATATATATTCGTATAAATTACACTACTTTCTAAGAATCACAATTAAGAATTTTCCTGCGGAGACTGACAAACAAAAACAAGGATTAGGATTACATTATTTAAATAAAATAGGTATAAAACGTTTTTAAGTTAATCGGTTTTATGGGAAAGCAAGATAATTATGAAGTAGATAATGTACTAAAAGCTGAAAAATCACCACGCTCCTCCACTTTTTTATTTTTTTTAATTTATTTATTTTCTCATCAATCTACGGCTCTGATCAGATGCTAAATAAAACCGTGGGGCGCAGCGTAGCCTGAGTGTAAATAGCGTTGCCATGATCTGAGTGGTTGACGGTTGATATAAATTTGATGCGCCCCGTGATCAGAGCCGTAGATTGATGAGGAGAGTGGTGCGATGGCTGGTGTCTAGGAGCTAGCTCGTTATTTTGCAGCTTTTAGTACATTATCTACTTTATCATTAGCTTTCTTTTCAATAAAACCTATTTTATTTTTAAGTTTTTAGTTTATATATTGTATGTACGTACCTATGTATGTAGTATGTATGTTCATCTAGGCCTTCATTTTTTTTGCTTTCTATTTGTTGTTGTTTGTAAAGTTGTCTTTTCTTATCAAGTGGCCATCCATTTTGCCTCATCTGTTTCTAATAATAGCCTTTAAATATTCTCTCTCTCTTTATATACCAATAGGAGGACTTCCTCGTTGGTTCTTCTCTCTGATGTTGTTTGTTTTTTTTTTATAATCAAGGACAGTTAGTAACCTTGATCTATTAGGACCTGCATGGTTAGGAAGGTACCATCTCTTGCTTGCACCTTAATCGTAGCTATTGTTAAGAGGACTTCAGGCGTGTCATGTTGTTGCGACACGTGTGTGCTAGATTTTGTTTCAAACCTTTGGTTTTGCTGACGACGACTTTATTGGCACGGCGTGCAAGATTGAAGTGTAAAATTCTCCGCAATGGCGACATCGCTTGTCCTAGAAATTTACAAATATTGTATTTTTCCACTGTTCTAATTTTATTGCCATCGGCCATAGTTACAAAACTTTAGACAATAGTAAAAAACCATGGTTTTCTTCACAAACGACATCTTTCGTGGTATGAGAGTAAATAACTGACTTTGGAGCTCGACGAGACTTTATTTGCTGGGAATGACTGCTTATGATAAGATAATTTACCTTGCTTTTGTTGCGATCCTAATGCTGTAGATAAGTTTTGGTTTACGGGTTTTTCTGGAGCGTCTTGTTTTCTCCGTGTCATGGTAAATTCCATAGTCGTAAACTTACTTTCTAAAAGGATATAAATTGTTATAATAATATTTTTTATTGACATTAAGCTTACATTACATTAATTTAAGAATTCTCTGGCGCCTACACTAGTAGATACTGTGTTGCAGGAGCCAGTGTCCACCCCATTTATAATTATACATAGACAGTCAAAATTTTGGTATAATAAATAAAAATAGAAAGAAAAAGAAAATTAAAACTTAATATTATTTTTCTCACACTGTTGTCAACTTCCTCGGCACTTTCGACGTATCTGTGTTTGAAAAAGGGGACTGTTTATGGTTAGCCGGAAATTCATTCCAATACTCCTCTAAAGCGTCCAACTTCCTCTGGATATAGTCAGCTGTTTTGTCACGCCCAGATGCGAGGAGTCGTTCCATCTCCTCGGTGAGTTGCTATTGATTGACAACGGCTTCGATTTGCGACATAGTGTTTTGCTAGATAAATTAAAGGATCTTACATGATATAACTGCTAACCCTGGAAGTTCTGGTCACGCAGCCCTGTTGTCCGTCGATGAAGAATATGCCGAAGCATTGTTCACTTGTTAGAACAATTCAGTCACGATATTTACACTTTACACGCGAAGGTCCGGCAACTAAGTTAGTTTGAAATTCGACGCTGTGACAGCGCTGTACGCAAGTCTGTTTCCTTAGAGCACTGTAACTTAAAACCTAGCGCTAGGATCAAAACTCGAAGGACCACTTTGATGTAAGGTTTTTACATCAAGAAGTTAAATGATAGATAATAAGGTAACTTGATATAACTATTTATTGTATTTAGCTAAGTCTAACTAAATCTAAAAATGTTATGGATTGGGGTAATGACATTGCTTATTGCTAATGAATAAAATGTACGTGTTGGCGTAATATGCTGACACGACAATGTGCGGGTGCATTGCCAGTACAAAATGAAAAAAAAAATAAAAAAAACACAAACCCACACTACATTTCCACTTAAGAAATAGCCTGTGCTAAATGAATCCCAAGCATTCGCTGTCTTCTATGTAATCCACAATTGAGTAGTAGGCTTTCTGACATAATTTACGTGTTATTGCGGATTTAAGTTTGTGTGTACTGTCTTGTATATTATTTGGGATTTGAATATAAAATCGGACACATTGACCACGAAATGACTTGTTTATCTTTTGGAACCCAGAGGCAGGTACAACAAGTTAATTCTGGTATTTATGGAATGCACATCAGTTCTTGCTGCGCACACTGCGTATGCTGCTGAGTGGAGTATTTGATAATTTATTTTCGAAAGGAACTCACATACTGGCACACATCAAAACAATGTTGTGTTTAATATTTACTGATGCCATTGTATATATCTGTTATTTAAAAAAGAGTGGCCGTGAGTTTGTGTGCCCTTTCTTCTCATAAGGCTCAACCCTTTGCAAACAGGCGGTTGTCGATTGTCACAGGCATATAATATATTTTCGATACGTACCTATTTATTTATTTTGCTAAATATTTGACAAAACAGATTAAGACTAGTCTAGACAAGCGACGATTTCAAACATTTTTTATTTATTTATAAAATACAAATATTTTGAGTTTGATGCAGCAGGTATCTCTCCTTGACACGGCCCGTAAAGTAAGGTTCCTATCTTTGGAGTCCTAACCACCGGTGTCTTAGTCCCTGTTCCCGGAGTCGGTGGTCTACAATTTTTTTGTTTTAAATATATGTATTTAATTTTTATAAAGAATATGTTTAAAAATGTAATTAATATGTGTATACTATAAATAAAGAGAATAATAACATAGCGCTGGACGTGGCTACGCTGTGCAGCAAGCCCTAAATCTTGGCAAGTTTAGGTGACAAATTATTTAACAATCGACATCAACTAATATTCTCCCTCACCCAAATACTAAGCTTTAGATCATTGTTGTGGGCCCCCCACAACAATGATCTAAAGCTTAGTATGGTATTAGAGTTGTCCTTATCAAATTGAGGATAAGAATGAATTTACTATAGTTTGAGTGTGATAGGGTCCTAGCGTTTTTAGTCGGTTTGAGTCTGACATAACTACCCCACCGATAGATGGTATCCGTATCCGAGGGGATTTCGGCACAGATAAAAAGAGGTCCTGACGTGAATCTGGTTGACATAGTACGTTTAGGTGGCAGCGCCAGACGGTGCCACATCTTTATCAGTGCGTTAGAAACTCTAGTAGGCAAATCTTGCCGAATTATTTAATCTTCAATCTTCTTGCTCCAATTATCGTCACAAATAATGGCTTTGATAATGAAATGATTACTTTTAACGACGCCCTATTTCATGGTACCTGGTGTGTGCCACTGCGGTTAACTGGCCAGTGAACCACCTCGGCGACTGCCTTAGCGTCGAGTATAGATGGTTCGATCCCGCAAGACATAGTGTTGTTTTTTGTTTACTAATAGATATATAATGTACTCAGAGCGTACGCACTGGGGTGCAAAGCGTGCACCGTACATGGCGGCATTTACAAGGGCCGCCCCCTTGAAAATGCAAATATAGAAATCGAAACGAAAACTAAACATGCTTAAAATTTGCTTGTCTAATATATTTTTATGATGTCATAATAGTATCATTATTGATCGGTTTACGTAAATAAAAGCGAATTACTTTATTAAACGTGTTTTAATTTGAATAACTCAAGGCGCGGGCGCGGGACGCGGGGCGATAGTTTCACGTTTGGGAAATTATGCGGCGGCTTAATTGCGCCTGTAAGACCCATTATGGAGAATTGGTTGAAGAGGAAACACGGGACCCTCTGATACCGGCTGACGCAAAGGATGCTTTGGAGATCACCTGTGTCTGATCCGCAAAGAGGCAACGCCTGGGTACCATGCTTCTCATGCTGGCAGAATGCCTGGCATGTGTGGATCAGAGGTATGACCTCGTGACTGATTGTGACCTTGTTACGGAGCGAGCGCGCGTAGAAATGAAATGACATTTATTTCTGCAAGTAAATCTTTTCAGATATTTTTATAAGTTGAACTTTATAGCTAGAAGGCGCCGGCATTTCCTAAGACTCGCTCTGGAAAGAAACGCCGAAACAAACCACAGAGGTGTCTTTTTTTTTAAGTCCGTGTACAATGTTAAAGAGAACTATGTGAGTGCAGTATAGGGTCTGGGTTGGCCTTTTGAAAAAACTGCCATAGTATTGAGTCGGTCCGTCCATGCAGACGACATACGAGCCCCAGCCATTGTGTAGCCTAACCGATATAGTCAGGATCAACAACCCGGAACACGACACTAACGCCTGCAGGACACTTGAGTGGGCCGTGGAAACACTCAAAACCACCAGAAAGTTACTAAAATATGAACTAACATAACAAGCCTACACTATGCTCACATTTACATACTTACAAAAAAAAAACTAAACAGTTTCATATCAAATAAACAAACGAAATACTTACGAATTACAACAAAAAATTAAATGTTCATCACTTTGAAATGTGGGAGTGAGCAGCATCAATCACAAGCAAATTTGTCATTCAAATAATCGGTAACCGTGCAGTAAGCATTTTCACGTACTTTTTGTTTAACTAAGTTAAATTTGGTAATACTTAATAAATGAAATTTGCTTGGCATTTTATTGTAGTCTAGTCGTTGGCAACACGAGTTTATGTTTATTTCTACTGTTTATATTTTTCTTACATAATAAATAAAAGTTGTCGGTTAATTACTTTATTGCACTGTACTTACAAACACTCACTATAATAAACTAGAAATCACTATATATCTCGTTAGTCGCACTAGAAATTCACCCCGATGTTAATTTGCTGTGTCGTAAAACGATACCGTGTCGAACGGCCAACACGCTCTGCTTTTATAGCGCTCTCGAATTTACTAGAAAGATCCCTAGTATTCGATAGTCTGTTCCAGACAAACAAGAATATTCCAGAATGAGTCACGCGTTACTTGCAGCGCCAGCTAGCGCTCTAAGGATCAGAACTATTAACCACAATATTAATAGATGTACTTTACTTGATATTAGATGGCACTGTCCACGACATTTCATAAAATTCTGGAACAATCAAACCATTTAATCCTATGGCGCAACACTATGAATGTCGCTAAACTTTGTGAATAAATGAATACTTTTCTTAACATACACTAGATTTATATTGAGATGTGACTGTCATAATACCAATTTCTTTAAACTTATCCCTCAGTGACCTATAACTGAGGTTATAAATTGCGCGATAGCTCTCTTTTGCAACACAAAGATACTCTGAATGTCAGCAGCATTTCCCCACAACAAAATACCGTAAGGCATTATACTATGAAAATAGCTAAATACACTAGTCTAGCTATTTCTACATCGGTTAATTGATGAATTTTATAAACCGCGTATGCCGCAGAGCTGAGTCTATTCGACAATCCATCGATGTGTGGGCTCCTCTGCAATTTAGTCTAGAGTTATACCCAAAAACTTAGTGGTGTTCACAAGATCCAACTCCTTTCCATTTATCAGAACACTGGTTTTAATCTGCTTAACATTAGGTAAAATAGTAGAACTCCGCTACCTCCTGCGAGCAAATTAAGCTCGCGAAGGAGGGGGCGAAACGGGACCAAGAGGGGCTTAAAACCCTCTCCCGGCCCACCAGGCTCGGGAACGGACCATTTACCGAAGGCGGCTCAAGCGCCGAAATGACCAGTCGCCGAATGATCTCCGTCCTCCTGGGGGATGATAGGTGGCGATGCGACGAGCTCCGTGTGGACGCGACTCGCGAGATCGGTGACATCATAATCCGTAGAATGAAACCGCATGACATGCTGCGGCGTCCCGCGGCATGCCACGACGTATTATTGTACCGAAATAAAGCGCTGTATAATTGGATGAAAAGAACTTGATCAGAAATAAAATCCATAACCACCCCACCGGTTGTCTGGCGGAAGGAGAGGGGGACCTATGACTTTTTAAGTTTAGTGATAAAGTGCTTGGTACAGGGTACTAGACTATGTATATATTGAAGGGAACGGAACTAGACGAGTACTCTCCTGCCTCGTAAAAGCTGCAACTCAAGCTGGAGGGTGTAAAGTATTTCCAGGCACTGCGCGAGGTTACTCGTAGTCGCATTTCCTTAGAAGGAACAACGCCTACCGCACAACACCTCTAGTCTAGTCACACTCTAGTCTGTCGGATTTCCAGGGTTGTTACGGTTACGGTTTACATTAATCTATAGCATTTAGGACCCAGAACAGCTATAAAGTCAACAAGCAAGTCGAGTCAAGGTTACCGCCACAGACGGCATATCTTGCATCCATTTGTTGTAACCGCGCGGGTGCCGGGCTTCGCCTGATACATGGGGGCAACACATGCTACGCGTCAGCGCTCACCTCCACCGTCTGCTTGGTTACCCCCTCTACCTAACCATATTTGATCTGACTTGAGACACAGACCTCATTACGACTACATTTGCAATAAGGCTGATCGTATGTTGTCGTTTGTGCTTCGATATGCTAGACCTTTTAATGAACCTAGTTCCTTAATAAGTCTATACTAATGTTTAGCAAGAAGCATAACAGAGTACTGCTCATCAGTATGGACTCCCATCTATCAGACCCATATAGACCAAATAGAGGCAGTCCAAAGGCGTTATGTAAGGGCGTTGTACTCTAAATTTAACTTGAGGCGAAAAATACCGGATTACGACAGCCGACTTCGTAGGTTTAAAATGATGAGTCTAGAGAAGAAGAGGTGGCTAACTGACATGTGCACCCTACATAAAGTAGTAAATGGCTCACTTGATAGTGAGCTTATTGGCTTGCTATACTTTAAGATACCAACACGATCCGTACGTATACCACAGCTGTCCTCAGTACCTAGTAGCAACAATTATGTATCACAGAACAATCCATTCTCCCGAATGTGCAGTCAATATAACGATATTTGCTCTGAGCTCGACACAATCATCATCATCATCATCAACAGCCTTTACTAGTCCACTGCTGGACATAGGCCTCTCCTTAGGAAGGACGTTTTGGCCTACTATACCACGCTGGCCAGACGGGTTGGCTCGACACAATACATATAATTTATTCATAAGTTCATTACTAAAAGAATGTGCCCCACAATAATATCTGTATAATTTCTTCGGCTTTTTTTTTAATCTTTGATTTGTTTTTTAATTAAATCTTAAACTAATTATTTCGTAATAAATAATGGAACTTAAATTTATTATGTGAAAAGTTTAGCCTGTTAACATACTCATATAAGCTTTGTAATAGAATGTTGTGTATGGTTATAATAGGCTTTAGGTTATAGGTTTAAGTCCTTGTTTCTTTTTAAAGCGTGGTCTTTAGGGATGTTCGTTTACGGTACCGTGAGTTTCTATTAATAAGTACTACACGCTTAATTGACTTTGCATAAAGAAATATGTCTGGTCTGCACGCCGAGACACAGATATCCTCCGGTATTCTCTAATGATTTTCATACGTGTCCACTAATGTATAGTCACTGGCAGTATTTATCATAATAATTGAATGTTGGGCCTTCCTTTACAAACTCGATGTTAGTTCTTATGTTTGTTATTTTTCCTGTTTTCGTTCTCGCCAGCGATAAACCTATAGCTTCGCGTATGATTTGTAATATCCTATCATGGCGACGTGAATAATGACCCCGGTCTAATAGCGCCGTACAACCTGTCAGATTTCTGCACTGCACATCCAATAAGCATTTTCTGTAGCTTTTCCCCACCTGACTGGGTTAAATTGCTTTGATCGGAAAGAGTTAATTGATAGGCGTTGAGGTAAAATTTTAATAAGGCAGGTGACCAATCGTATAAAAGTGTGCGCCATTTCAAAGCTAGTGGGATAAAAAAGATCACTTACTTAGAGTTAACCATTCATTCTGCATTTCTAGGTTCATTTCGCGCACCTTGTAGGTCTCGTTTTCATCTTGTTGTAGGAAAGATTTGGTTATCTCTTTGTTTGCCTGTCTTCTAGCATTTCCCAATCCAACTCTACATACTGCGTACCCACAATTTTTCTTGTGGAATTCGAGCCGTGACCCGAGCTCTAATAAATTTTTGTTGTTTGGAGGGATTTAACGATTTCGTCTTGTGATTTTGACAAGATATGCATTTTGGTAACTCATATAATAATAATAATAATAACCTCACACATCTCACACACGGCCGTCTGATCCCAAACTAGGCAGAGCCTGTGCTATGGTAACCAGACTGCTGATAAACATACTTATATAGTTTTAAATAAATACATATTATAGATAAATTACACCCAGACACAGAACAAATGACCGTGCTCATCACACAATATTCTTATATTTATAATTTTGTAATGTATATTGGTCAAAAAAAAAACCACTTCGCATCCCGTGGTATTGCTTTATATTGTTAAAAAAGCACGAGTGACGTAGATAGGTACTATGATGTTATGCCGCCCGTAAGGCGCGCAGTAGATGGACGTAGCTCTCCATGTGTATAGCCAGGTGTGTGCAGTGGCTATACACATGTATGTGGTCACCTCTGTACTTAAGAACGATTCGTGAACAATAACAAGTCGGTACCTAGACCAAGAAGTTAAACGTAGCGAAGCGGGAATTAACAGCGTTTCCTGCTTGCGGAGCGCGCCTTTGTTCGCGCGCGGCCTCAGCGCTGGCGCACCAGGAGCAGGTGCGGCGGCGGGCGCGGGGCGCGGCGCGACCTCGCCGCGCGGACGTTACTCATACGTTGAGGAGCGGTCAATTGGTCCCGCGGTCCTCGCCGGCTCAGTCGCGGTCGCACACCTCTCCAGGGAGAGCGATAGGCACTGTCACGTGTTCTCGTGAGCTCGGGGGACATGCCACCCTCGCCGTCGGTGTGGGGTCTGAGCGCGTGGGCGCTGGCGATATGCGCGGTTGCCTACGGCTCGCTGCTCGAGACGGAGCGGCTGCACGCCAGCGTCGGGGGCTACGCCGTCCTCAACTGCCACCTCGACTTCCCCTTCGGCAACGAGATACCTTACCAATTGCAGTGGGACAAAGATGTAAGTACACCTCGCTCCGTGTTGCCATCATCCAGCATTGACTGAATCTGGTGTCTAAAATAGTTGTTCTATTTTGAGTCATCTGTTGTTTACAAACATTTATTCATTAGTTTGAATATATATCACCACGATATTACTATAAGTATAATTGTGACGATATTAGCAAGTCGCCGTAGCACGGGCAGAGGGAACATAGGCATACAAACGGTCGTAGTGTTGTATCAGCCACCATCAGCCTGGTGCGTTGATCATGTCTGTTAAATAAAAATTAAAAAGCACACTTCATACAATTCAAATAATTTGAAATAGAATCAATTTTTTAATCTAGATAATAAACGTTGAAGGGAGACATGTAGTTGTACGTTATTAAAACAGCTAAACTTAACCGATTTAACTCTTTGGTACAGGTTCCTAAATCGAGAACTCTATTGTACATATTATACTTACAGTCTCACATACTCGTACTAGTCCATATGCGAAAGTGTGTGTCTTTCTGTTACCTTATCACGCCTTAACCGCTGAACTCATTTAGATGAAATTTGATATAGAGAGAGTGTGAGTCCTGGGTAAGGACATACGATAGTTTTTATCCCAGAAATCATCCTTTTAGGGGGTGAAAAGGAGGGTGGAAGTTTGTGAGGGGAATCAATAACCGCTGATCTGATTCAGATGAAATTTGGTATGGAGATAGATATGTCCTTTATCAGAATCGGTCGCGCAACCGCAGGCGCAGCCGCGAGCAAAAATTAGTATTATATAATTGTCATTCGAACGATTCGCTCCTAGTTCCATTTGTCTTATTTTCTACACTACTCTTAACAAAATATTATGTTTAAAGAGCGCGTAATCTGTTCGGGTTATCTGAGTCCATGTTGTCAGTTGTTGACAGTTTATCACACACATATGCCGATGCTGATGATTTATTTACTTACTTGCGCTAATTAGAGTGTGGGCATGGTTGTTACCTGTATTTATTGGTGTACTCACTTCTTTGATTATACAGATGCGCGTTCCATCATCTCAAAGTGGCACCAATTTAAATTCGACTTACATACTTTCGGATAACACATAAAAGGGCCGTATCTACGACACTTTTTACAATTTGTCGCGAGATCTAGACTAGTACGTTTGCAATCAAAGACTTCACGAATAATTTGTTTTCTAAAACAATGTTCGCGTGTATATCTAGGTATATCTGTAAGAATAGTTTTATTCAATACTAGTAGTAGGCAAGTAGGCTATGTCCTTCTTGAAGAATCAAACCATCTCTATGCCAAAGGACAATGGCAGGCATGTATGGGACTTTTGTAGAGATTATTGTTGTATTTATTTGACTGGTAATATCTCATCAACAATTACTGTTTTAATTACCAGACTTTTAGAACTTTGCGTTAAAATGTTATTTCAGTTTGTAGTGTGCAGCTGAAGGTACCTACTGAAGTACAAATGTCAGTTGGCTGTCACAAATGAGTTGTCATTGCTGTCAACAAGTTAACATATTAATCTTTCAAATTTTTCAAGAAGTGACCAAAATAAAAGACTTGGGAGTGCTATTAGATAGCAAGTTTACATTTGTACCACACATGGAACATACCTTTACACGAGCATCCAAAATGTTGGGTGTCAGAGTTTTTCCATCGCACAATACAAAAATCATACTCTACAATTACCTGGTTACTACTGTACTACTACTACTACTACTACTGTAGTAGGTACAGTCTGGCGACCACATTACGCTTGCCAAAGCCTAAGGTTAGAGCGAGTGCAAAAAAAGGGTTTCTACGGCATTTGGCCGTTACTTGGCAGGAATAGCTCATAAAATAAAGTCGTATGATAGCAGATTGGCACATTTCAAAATGACTTCGTTGCAGAAACGTGATATTATATTAGACGCTATGTTTATGTTTAACTTATCTTCTTCTATACAAATAAATAAAATTGGAGTGTCTGTTTGTAATATTAAAATAACCGCTTTTTACTAAATGCATATGTATGTTTACACGGTACATATGCCAAAATAACATTTTTTACAATTTTTGCCTGTCTGTCTGTTTGATCCGGGTAATCTCTGGAACGGCTGGACCGATTTCGACGGGACTTTCACTGGCAGATAGCTGATACATAAGGAGTAATTTAGGCTACTTTTTTTAGACTAGCTTCGCCCGCGGTTATAACAACAAACGCGGGTAACACCGCGGGTCTCAGCTAGTTACAAAATAAACCCCTTGTGCCCCCAAACTTTTAGGCAAAATTAAATTTTGTGCTCCCTTTAGACATCCCCGTGCACCCACAACCCCGCTGGATCCGCTACTTCGTATACATAGATGTACACGCGGACTCGCTTGCCACATTCCGCAAAGGTATTACGAGTGTGTTGTAATGTGTATACTTTACGATTTGTAATCATTTATCAACCAATAATGGTTGTAGCAATATTTTATAGCAACCCTGAGGTGCAAATTAACATTTTTGTTTTAAAGTGACCTATGACTACCTACTGCATTAATCACCGTTTGCTTGTTTCTGTAACTGCACTCGTATAACTTGACTATATCAGCTGTAAATAATTAGTACATGCTGTGCTTGACTGTAAGAGGCTATCATACTATTCATGGTTTTGCTTTGTAATGTAAAAGGAAATTGTATTAGTATAAGTAGTTTTTGGTGAGCCTAATAAATAAAAATAAAATAAAAATCTTTCAAAATCATACGTTTATAATTTTTTTGATCTGTCAACAATGTGATGACCTATCAAATCCTTGGGCAGAATTTATTTACTTTTAGCAAAGATCTAAAAATATGATAATTACATGAAAACGTAATCATCCATCATATATTACTAGGGGTACAGGATCTGCCGTTCTCCTTTCATTAAAATCGGTTCAACGGTTTAGCCGTGAAAAGACGAAAGGTCGTAGGTATGTAAATGTGCAATATGACTGCTAAACTGCTCAGGTACACATTTGTTTAGGTTGATCGCATTGATGGTAGCTCGGTAAAGTCCTTTAGGTCGCACTATTTCTTTAAGTATCTGCTTATGACTAACGCAAATGAAATTGACACATCAAGTATATAATATCCGCAGCCCCTGATACATAGGTTCATGAATAAAATATGAGCCCTTAAATCCATAAAAACGTATTCTACTTACGTTTTCGGACTCATACGATTTGCATGAAATCTGGGGCTTCTGTTATTATTTGTTCCACTAACCTAATTATCATAAAATGTATTTTGTTAGTAAAACAATAAAGTTAGCAGATTACCGATTCAATCCTCGGTCACAATACGATAAAATCTCGTTACAGTCAACGTTGGATGTTTAATACTTTACTACAAAAATACTTTCTATGACAGGTGTGAGATCGAAAGTTGATCGGAACTAAATTGAGACCGAACTTTCATTACGAGAATTGGTCTTCTGAACTATGTTCTAAATATTGTGTTAACAACTATAATTTCTTTATTCCGGACCTAAATTTCCTCCTCCTTTATTGTTGATTTTTGAATGAAGCGCGAATCACCAGCTTCTTTTAAAGGGATTCAATTCTAATGCAAATATATTAATTTCATAAAGGGTCTACTAATCCGTCGGTACAATGGTGCTGGGATCATACAAGTAGATATATCTTAATGACAATATCACTTCTGTGTCTAGGTACCTATATGTGTGTTTGTTATTGAACGAGGACGTATATAGGTCGATGTTTTAGTTTGTAGAAACCACACAGTCCTAACGCGCTGCGGTATGCTGAAGGTCATTACTGTGCGGTATTACGTTCTGCGCCAAGGTGGATTAACTTACCACTCGTTCATCACACGCGCACCTGCCAACCTTTTGATTTAAAATATCATTTTGCCCTGTATGTTTCTTTCTCAACTAAATTAAATTTTTATCAATAGTAAATTTACTTGAACAACTATTAAGATTTCAGATTCAATAAGTAAAAGCTAAAGAATCGACAACAGAGTAAATAAATAACTAATAATATAGGTAATGCTTTAATTAAAATAAATCCTTAAATTTTCGTATCTTTAAAACTTCAATGCGTTGCTTTAGTTCAAGAATTAACAACTAATTGTCATCCATTCCTCTTATTCGTAACTTCGGTGTGCGGCGGGCGAGAGGGACACGCCATCAACCGCACTCGGCAATTGCAACATTAGTATCGATTGATCATGAGCACCAATGATAGTATCATTATGATGCTTTTCGACCGACATCACTCGTATTGTCCACAAGTAGGTACAGTTTGATTGGTGGCACTTACATACATGATTTGATTACAATAAGATCTATCTATGACACAAGCGAGGTGTTGTCACACATATCGAGCTCGTTAAGAGGACGGTGGATGCGGGATACGGGCTCTCAGTAGAGCTGTAGTAGTGTGCAGCACTGCACGAAGGGAGCCTCGTGTCCGCACAGGACCACTATGGGAGCGGCCTCACGGTGCATCACTTTGGTTGTGGGTACCGGATATTTGTCTATTAGCAGAGGATTTCTCGTTATAAACCAGGGTAATTAACCAGGGTTAACCAGGGCCTCAATAGGCCAAACTACGTAAATATTAACCCACGGGGCAGCAAGTTGTACCTCGGTATCAAAGTTTGTTCAATGGACGCGTGTTTCGGTGACCATCGTTGCGGATAATCACCGACAGCTACAATGTTATGTACTCAGTGGACACCTTATTATCACAGAACGCGCCGCTCCCTGTGTATTGTAAAGCCTCTGGCTGTGATACGTTCACGTTCTACGAGGACTAACGATCTAGCCTTGATAGTATGTGAAGATTTGTTATTGCATCTGTGTCAACAACAAATGCACATTTTTTGTGTCTTTGTGTCTTACTGAATTAGTGTATCTTTGTGACCGTGACACATTTTATTGTGACAATATCGATTTGTTAAAGCTTTGCAACACGGAGTTGACCGGTACACGCTGGACTCGGACTGAGCAGCTAACAGTGGATGGGCTTTGTCCGCTTGTACTTTATATACCTAATCCTCACAGCGTTTCACTTCCGCTGTGATTACTATTACTTTACTATTACCTTCTTTTAGTTTCCTCTCTTTGTCGTGTTGGGCGATGTTTTACAAAAAAAAATATTATTTGTTAGCTGAAATGTCCACGGGGTGAATGTGTGACTACAAAACGTTTGTAAACTTTACTATTAAGACAATGTATTGCTCGTATGCATGCTAGCCGGTGCCCGCCACTTCGACCGCGTACAGTTAGTAATAGTAGGCAGTCTATTTCTTCTCTAATCTTTCTTTCATAAATCGGTGTGTTTTTAGTGAAAACACCTTTCGCTTTTACAATTAACAAGTCGCAAGGAGAAACGGCCGGTCGGTCAATCCTCACTCACTGACAGTGTTGTCACGCTATGAAATGTAGGAGCGGACAGGATAATGCCCGTATGCGATAAAGAATATAGCTCGTGATACGGAGCTATTGAAGTATTATCGAGATGATAGATTTGTGCAAAGTGAGTATGTATGATACTAACATTATAAGAGAATGACGGCATGGCTTGTTTAGTGTGAAATGTTAGAGTAAAATAATGTCGATAATCTCCTGCGCTATCTCGTTCATTTATTATGAGATGAGTGGAGCTAGATCCGTTAAGTACCGTAATGAGCTCACACCTACTTACTCACTTGACAATTAGGATATATGCGTTATGTTTTCTCTAGAAGCGTGTCGAGTCGCCGCGACGCATCGCACGCCGCCCGTTCTCGTAAAGTGGTGCGCACAGCTCCAGCGCGTGGAGTCATTATCTCGTAACTGGCTAACGACAACTTTATTGTGAGGAATTTGGGTCCTGTGGCTGTCACTGGGACGATGCGGCCACCGCGGCAGGTGGCGGCGAGCGCGCGCGCCCGAGCGTGGGAGGAGCGCACATTAGCCGCCGCGCGCCGTGTAGCTGTAGGCGCAACGCGAGATGCGCGTGGGAGCCGTAATTGTCTACTTGCTGACACTCTTCAGATTAGTTGGAGGAGCGGCACTCGACGCGCCCTAGTGCAGCCGCCCGCTCCCTGCTAGGTGACCCTGGTCGGCGCGTACGTGGCGACCTCACAACAATTTGTCCTACTGTTGATTTGTTACATAACCACCCCGTCGCCTCACGTTAGGGATGTCCTTTTATTTATGTATAGTAAACGTCTTACGATAAAAAAAAACCTGTACATACAGACAGCACGATCGGCGAACGTCGGCTATTGGCCATCACGCCTCCAGACTTCTTCTGACTTGACTGGTTGGCTCCTTTAGTTTGTATTTAAATATTTCTTTGAACTTTTAAAATATGTGATTTCAACTTCAAGGCAAGGCATTATTTATGATTTATGTGTGTAGTTGTAACTAGTTTCAGTTAAGGTTTCAGTCATTAGGGATTTATGGTTGTACTATACAATCTAAAATAAAACTATTAAATTAAATTGAATAAGAGTTTCATTAATTTATTTTAGTTATTAACTCAACATTATAAATTAAGAACAAATCTCGTGTAATTCTAACAAAACAATAACAACGACTGACAAGAGTTGAAGTAGGCAATAAAAGTAATAAAACACGGACTGTGGCGAAGGCGTTTGACGTTTTATCAAAGGACATCGTGACGAGTGTCGTCGGCAATAGCTTTCATAACATACCTTAAGTAGTGTTAATAATTTATGTTATACTTTGAGATTCCCGGTCCTGATTTGGCTAATCTCTGTTGCTATTTGAAAAAGCTACCTCGGTAAGCGCCAACATTAGTCATTATCCAAAAGACACACGCACGCACGTGTTTACAACGGATATAAAATCAGTGTCACCACTCATATTCATCCTGTGGGTGTCATGAGAGCCGACTAAGGGAGCAAGCTAGGCAGGACAACAGCACTGCAAATAGAAGGAAAACTTGACACAAACCTTTTTTTTTTTTTTTTTTAACGTGTGGAAATCCCCTCGGACCGTCACCCCTCCGGGGTTTGCGGCGGGGTGGTGTGTCGGACTCGGACCGACTAAAACCACACGGTGTGCCACTCTGCGCCTGTAACAGGAGGGATCCGGGAACAGCTGTTGTTAAGACATCCGGACCCCTCCTAGCGCCAGCCCGCTCCTGGTGCGGGCTCCGTGACAAAATCTCCTTTCTAAGGAGGGGCCTACGTCAAGCAGTGGACTGTTAAAGATGATGGTGAAATTGGCGTAACAATAATTTTCATAACTGAACTATTGACGTGCCAAGGCCTTACGCTTTAACGCTACTAATAATGTCAATACTAGTAGAGGCCAGTTTTCTCATCACTACTTTACTCTTATTATTCTTTTTTTTTTTTGAAGATTTAAAAGTATTCGACCATCATGCTTCGATTCGTTTAAATATCATAATAGATTTCCTTTAAGGAGAAGATGTAATCGATAAATAATAACTTAAAATACTGAACATGTCTAATAAATGTTATCACCCATGTCGACTTAGAACTTTACTTAGAACTTGTTGTGTCAGTAGACGAACTTTTTTGTCTTAGGGCTCTTACTACTACTCTAGAGGTCTTACATTTGGTGGTCTTGTAAAAATTCCTTGTTTTAGATTATATGCAAAGGAGGCAAGGGTACATAAATCAATAGGCAATCCCTAATAAGTAAGAATGGTGTCACATACAGATATTTATTTATATAGGGATAAATAAATATCTGTATGTGACACACTAGAATGAGATTGTAGACGGTATTAGATGAGGCATTGTGTGTGTCGAGCAGGGCGAGACGATCCTGTCGTGGTACAGCAGCGAGGGGCGAGTGCGCCTGGGCGAGAGGTGGGGAGGGCGCGTGCAGCAGCTCTTCGACGGACGGCTCGGCCTCGGCCGTGGCTCCATCAACGTGAGCGCCGTGCGCGAGACCGACTCCGGCCTGTACCGGTGCCGCGTCACCTTCCCCAACCGCTCGCCGCCCGCGCGCAACAATGGCACCTTCTACTACCTCGACGTTGACGGTACACTACTCTCACGCACGTAACGCATACTTGTTCCAAGTAAAGGCCAGTATATTAACTGTCTTCAATTTAAATAAAGCAGTTTGTATTTCTTTTGAAAAGTTTTCATAAAATAGAGGGTAGCAGGTTCTAGCACAAATGTTGGCTTGACGCATTACATGAAGCTCACCTACTATAGGGATTGACTTGTTTTTTCAGGGGGTAATTTAATAGTTACGCCACCAATGAACGTGACGGTGCTGGAGGGTGAGCGCGCCGAGCTGGAGTGCCTCCCTAAGACGCCCGAGTCCGCGGTTGCGTGGTTTAAAGACGGCACGCCGCTCAGCGAGTTCCCCGAGCTAGCGCTTCGCAGCGAGCTGCCGGCCAACGGAAGCTTGGTGCTGCGTCGCGCCGCCTCCTCCGACCCCGGCGAGTATGAGTGTCGGGTGCGAGACCCCGACGGCGCATCGCAGAGCGCCGCCGCCTTTCTCGATGTCCAGTGTGAGTCCTTACCTATTTGTTACAGAGTTCCTTTTGACCGACCGGACCAACCCGATACACAGAACGATAGCCGATCATAGAGACTCCAACCATTCAGCCGTCGTTCATTGAGACTTCGAAATATCCAAGTCACAATATTCTCTGAGATAATTGTTCGATTCATTTCGAAATCCACTACTTTGAGATTTGACACAAGGCTAGCTACGTTCGGATTCACATCGCATCGATACTATTCTTTTGTTTCGTCTTACTTTAGCTCTATTTGACTTGTTGTGCAGGGTTAAACGATGCGTTAACTTTAATCGATTATTTTTGCCTGTCTGTACATATTTGAGTGGGTCAAGACTGGCGGGTGGTGTAGATATGACAATGTTCTGAGGTACGCGCTAACATAGTTCTTGTATTGTCTAAATACATTAATAATTTATATCTTATACATATTATATTATTCTGTATTTATTTATAAAAAGTTTGACATCGTATTGTTGTCATCCGATATTATTGGTTATATAACTTTACATATTTTATTTATTTTATTTATACTTATTTTAATTTCATGCTGTCCGATGATGAATCGTTTCATTCTGCAAACGAATCTGCTACTATTTCGGGTGACGAGAGTTTTAGCTCCTTATCAGATACACTTGGCGACTTTGTGAGACAGACGTTTGGTCGCTTGGTCGCCCTTCTAAATGTTGCTTAAACGTTTGTCATATTAATGCTCAAAGCATTCCCAGCCACTACAGTGACTTACTTGAAGCTTTCACCAACTCCGAAGCACATGCTATACTGATTTCTGAGTCCTGGTTCAAACCCAACCTGCTTTCTACGTCGTACTCCCTCCCTGGTTTCATTCTCATACGCAACGACAGAGTCGACAGAAGAGGAGGTGGTGTTGCTATTTATCTCCGCTGCTCAATCTCATACAAAATCTTAACGTCTTCCCCTCCCTCCAGTTCTGCATCCGCAGAATACCTTTTCCTTGAGGTTACCATCAGTGGAGCCAAAACTCTTCTGGGCGTTGTTTACTGTCCCCCCAACGTTGACTACTTCTCCAGTCTCGAACCGATTCTGGAATCTTTAGGGTCCGAGTATGCACACCATATCATCATGGGCGATTTCAATACCGATCTCCTCGCTTCCAATTCCCCTCGATCCCGTAAACTCCTCCAGGTCATCGAATCATCTTGTTTGCATGTGCTGCCATTGTCAGCCACACATCACAACATTAATGGACCTGACACCTGGCTAGACCTAATCCTAACTTCGACTCCGTCCTTTGTCCGTAGTCATGGCCAACACCCCGCTCCCGGTTTTTCCCAACATGACCTCATCTACCTCTCCTATGCCCTGAAACCTCCTAAGCACCGCCCTCAGTTTCGCCATATTCGCTGCTTCGGACGGATGAGTGAAGACAAACTACGCAGCGATGCCTTAAAACTAGATTGGAAGCCCCTGATCGAGGCGTGTACAGTGGACGACAAGGTTCGCATTTTTAATAATTTAGTAATTGACCTCTATGACCAAAACGCTCCAGTCGCAAAAATTAAAATTAAACGCTCTCCTGCTCCCTGGATGTCAGTGGATGTCCGTGAGGCAATGAGACGCAGAGACAAAGCGTTCCTAAAATTCCGGAAAAACAGGAGCGAAGCAAACTGGTCTCTTTATAAAGTTGCAAGAAATCGGTGTAATCAGGTGGTGCGCAATGCTAAACGCTGCCATATTATTCAAAACCTTAATTATTCCTCGCCTGCCCAAATCTGGCGATTCCTCGGTACCTTGGGCATCGGTAAATCCGGGAAAAACATCTCTTCAACGACCTTTGATTTGGATGACATTAACCGACATTTCACCACTCTTCCGCAATTTGATCACCAAACAAAGTGTCTCACCTTAAAGTACCTGGCTGACCTTCCTCGCCCAAATATTAATTCCTTTCAATTTTCTCCAGTTGCATCAGATGACATAAAAAAGATAATCCTCTCCATTAAGTCCAACGCCATGGGAAGTGACAACATAAATCGTCGTATGATCACACCTATCCTCGAACATCTCCTTCCCGCGCTTACGCATATAGTGAATTATTCACTCGATTCAGGGACTTTCCCTTCACTGTGGTGCAGTGCTTTTGTAATACCCCTCCCTAAGGTCTCTAACCCTACCCTTATAAATCACTTACGCCCAATTTCCATACTTCCCTTCTTATCCAAAGTGCTCGAGACGTGTGTACATCAACAGTTATCACAATTTATCCATCGGAATAATTTACTAAGCCCTTTTCAATCGGGCTTTAGGCCTGGCCATAGCACAACTTCTGCACTCCTGAAAGTGACCGACGACATTCGGGCAGGAATTGAGAACTCCAAAGTTACCGTGTTGGCTTTGATTGATTTCTCAAATGCTTTCAACACCGTTAGTCACGATGTCCTTCTATCTATCCTTTCCTATCATATGATGTCATCTGATGTACTGGAATGGTTCTCTTCATATCTTCGAGGGCGCCAGCAAGCCGTCCGTGTCGACGAATCCACCTCCATATGGTGCGATCTTGACTCTGGTGTCCCCCAAGGCGGCATTCTCTCTCCACTATTATTTTCTATTTTTATCAATCTCGTCACTCAGAATCTTCAATGTGCGTACCATCTTTATGCTGATGACTTGCAACTTTACTATAATGCTGCTGCAGATAATATAACGGAGGCTATTGCCATGATAAACGGCGACCTGGAGACTATTAGCGGTTGGTCCTATAGGTTCGGTTTGACTGTGAACCCCACAAAGTGCCAGGCTATCATCTTAGGCAGTCCACGTATGACCAGAAGGCTAGATCATGAAAAACTACCATCCCTAGTATTTAACGGGTCAACCATTCCCCTAAGTTCTACTGTGAAGGATTTGGGACTGTTCATTGATTGCAACCTCAATTGGCAAACCCAGGTTACTAATGTCAGCCAGAAAGTTACAGGAACCCTGCGGGTGCTATACCGACTAAAGAATTTTTTACCTTCCGAGATTAAAGCGATGTTGGTACAAACTTTAATTTTTCCCATTATAGATTATGGTGATGTGTGCTACTACGACCTGAATGCAGATCTCCTCAACAAATACGACCGTCTTCTTAATAACTGCATTCGATTCATTTTTAATCTTCGTAAATATGATCATATTTCCTCCTTTCGTCTTAAATTAAATTGGCTCCCAATTCGTCAGCGTCGCACCTGCGGGCACTAACGACTCTCTACACTATTCTCAACTCTCCTAACTCGCCTACATACTTGACATCCTCCTTCCAGTTCTTGTGCTCCAATCATAACAGAACCCTTCGCTCTACAAATAATCTTCTACTCTTATGCCCTGCCCACACTTCTGCGTGTGTTCATTCTTCCTTCCTCACTCAATCTGTACTTCTATGGAATGCTCTTCCCCAGGATATCAGAATGGCGACCAGTCGTAATTCGTTTAGGGCGAAGGTGCGGGCTCTTCTTGACCGGAATGTAGCGGAATCATCACAAATATGATACTTTATGTATTATGGTATATATGTATGTGTATATTTATAACACAATATATATGAATATGAATGTATGTATTCTTGTATGTATACGTTGGTATTTATACATTATTTCATTGCTTTTTGCTCAGTATTGCTATCATTACTTCTTTTATGTCCAGTTTATAATTCTCAACCAAAGGGTAGTGCACCTCCACACTCATTTCCACACCACCCTAAGGTAGACTGGTAGAGAATGCCTATGGCATTAAGTCCGCCATTGTACTTGTGTGCATAAAGTTGATAAATAAATAAATTGTTACTCGATACCATTTGCATTAAAAATCCGCAAGATTTCACCTTTATTTTTACCTATACCTAAACGCGACGGACCAACAAGGTGAACGCAGTGAACGCTAAGAAATAGGTCTTCTTTTTTTACCTACATTTCTTGCAAAATATTGCATACCGCTCAACAAGTTAATGATTTCCAACCGTTTGGGACTCTGTGTTAGCTGTAGATACTGAAAACCTATGCAGAAGCGACATAACGCCATAAATTTCACCATATAATGTATAATAATATAATTAGGTAAGACTAAAGCCGGCAAGGGCAGACCTTCATAGTCGGCGATGGTCACTTTCCATCAGGTGACCCGTCTGCTCGTTTGCCCCCCCCCCCCCCCCCCCACCATCTCACATAAAAGAAGGAAGAAAAATAGTATTGAATAAGAATTTATGATTGGAAGTTATGAAATAAAGAAGGAGTTGTGTAGTTCAACCGTTACACACAGGTTACCTGATTTTGGGACTGGTGGAGTGGACTGGACTGGAAAATGGTGGTGTTGTGTTGCTTATATTTAGATTTTCAGAGGATACTCAGGTGCCAGTGATTTATTGCCATTGTTTGTTTCTAGACAAAGCTAAAGTGGTGTACGCGCCGAAGGAACGATACCTGCCCTACGGCAAGCCGGCCAGCTTGGACTGCCACTTTAGCGCAAACCCCCCCCTTACCAATCTGCGCTGGGAAAAGGATGGCTTCCTGTTTGACCCATACAACGTGCCCGGCGTGTTCTACAGTAGAAACGGGAGCTTACTCTTCAATCAGGTTAATGATTTTTTGTATTGTTAGTATTTCATGATGAAATCATAGTTCCATCCTGAAATCTATTATTTTTTTAACGTGACAACGTCAAAAAAATAATAGATTCGATAAAAAAAAAAAAAATTATAATAATAATAAATAAATAAATTTTATAATTCGATGGAGCCGGCTGCACGCACGAAAAAACATGACTCATGCTAATTGTTGTTGAAATTTACCGAAACAAGTGATACCGACCGTTTTCTTTTCAAGTATTGATAGATTCTTTACTACACGGCATTAACCCGTTATCTGATTAAAATGAAATATTAGATCTTGAAATTAAAATTTATAAATGGCAGTTTGTTTATTGTAGAATTTTACGACGAACGAACCATTTACCGTAGAAGTCTGGTGGACTGGAGGCGATGAAGTCAGCGAAAGCGTTTTGTACTGCCTCACGGGTGTTGATTTTTTTCCCACTTAAAAAATTGGCAAAATTTTGAAAAAGTAGAAATATGTTGGGGAAAGGTCCGGTGAGTACGGTGGGTCAAACTCAAACTCAAATTAAATAAATTAATAAAAAGCCTTTTATTTCTTACTAAAAATACAGTTACAATTAATATTAAAACTATTAAATTAACTGCTACTACTACTCTCAAACTGAAATTATCTTTATTTATAAAAAATAATAATTGAAAACGTCTTTTGTATAGACTCTAAACTAAGTATGAATGAAATGAAATGATATGAAAGACCTTGACGGCAAGTAACAAACATAATAAGGGACAGGGAGAATACACAACTTCGAAACGGGTCTTTTTAGAATAAGGTTTTTTTTTTTACTAATTAATAATTTTTGGTTTAGGGTTGGTTGTGGTTGTTGTTCCCTAGCAGAAGCAGGCCGGGGTGGCGGGAAGCAGCTTTCATGGGGTTCCCACACACTGGGTCGTCTACTCGTGTGTAGATGGCCCCCGAGGTATGTCGAGGCACCAGGGACTTCCTTTGTAGGGTATACCTGGTTCCCCGGCTATTAGTACCCGAGACGGCGTGCGGTTTTAGTCGGTTCGAGTCCGACATGCCACCGATAGGTGGTATCCGAGGGGATTTCCGCACGGAAAAAAAATGTTGGTTGTTGTTGTTGTTTTAAATTGTTTTTTTTTATAACAGTTTATATAAAGTAATAACTTTTCAAAAATATTTAATAAAAAAATTATAATGAGGTGACAACCCTGAAATCAAAATTACTCTTTACTATTTGCCGCAAGTGCTTCAATGTTGTTTTGATACTAACTCCAAAGCCGGCAGCAAGCTCAGCCGTAGATTGAGTATGAACTGCTTCCACTATCGCCTTTATTTCGTCGTTGTCGGCTATAGTAACCGGCCGAGGCTCGTTCGTTAACTCCAAATTGCCAGATCTACAACGATTTAACCAATAACGGACCATAAACACTTATGCAAGCAGTGTTAGGCCGTACGTTAATATTTCGTGTCGTTTGCGCAGCGCTTTTTCACGTAGGAAGGGACTCATAATATATATACATATAACAGTATACTGCTGGACATAAGACTCTCATAGGGACTCATATTCGAAAATTGTACGAATTTTCAGTATATCCATGGCGCCAAGAACTACCACAATTTCACAAAAACAAAACGCTATCCAGAACAAATGACTCAGTTTAAAATTAAAATTTAATATTTTAAATTATGAATTAAGAGTGGCAGTGCCACTACGAGTATAAGCACAACCACAGCCTATGATTGAGTTCCGATGATTAGTTTTATTCTAAACCAAACATTAGAGTGTCAGATTGTCACTGTTTCGCATATCTCCTCTACAGTCGGCATTTCTTGTTGTCAAACTCGTGTAGTTGTCTACGTACGTCCTTATATGCAGGTGGACGAGTCACACGAAGGTGAATACTCTTGCACGCCATACAACTCGCTGGGATCGGAGGGTCCATCGCCCGGCGTGCGCGTGCGCGTCCAGAAGCCGCCTGCGCTGACGTCACGACCGCAGCCGTTGTACGTGGCGCGCCTCGGCGCCACCCTTACCATCCCCTGCTCCGCGTCCACGCGCTCGCACCACGACGAGCCCAGCGTGTATTGGGCCCGGGTAAGTATCTCTCCGTTGCACTTACATGACTAAGTCATCAAATATAGATGTATATTCACAATTGTGCAGAAAGATGGAGGGGAGCTGCCCGCTGGCCGCCACATGCTGAACGACGGAAACCTCACTATCATCGAGGTTTCGGAGGAAGACCGTGGCGTGTACGTGTGCACCGTTAGTAACGAAGCCGCCTCCGTCGACGTGGAGACAGAACTGCTCGTCGAGAACATGCCTCCGCGGGCGCCCTACAACCTCAGTGTCCGGCCTTCTGTCGACTCGCTTCATCTTTCATGGGTACCAGGTGAGATGTAAGCTCTGACTCATGTTTTGTTTTTAGTATAGCCGAGATTCATAAATATTTACACCCTTTTTATAGGTCACAATGGCATGGAAGTGGATTACAATGTGTGGTATCGCGAGAGGACCGTTAGTGAGTGGCGAACCATGAAAATCTTGTCCAGAGGTGTAACAGAGGCGACTCTAGTGGGACTGCGACCCGGCACCGAGTACGAGCTACGTGTTTTGTCACAGGACCTCATCGGAGATGGACTCTTTAGCAAGCCTGTATTTGCAAAAACGCTTGGTAAAACATTTGTTCACACTAGTAATCCTCGTTGCGATAGATTGTTGTTTTGTTCACCTTTTAATGTTTTTGTAAGGTTACACGGAGGAGGAGACAATTACCGGGGAGCAGATTCCATACGCAGCCGTTACCACAGAGGTATCTATGGAGTTGGGTACGGGCAGTGCGGGAGAAGCCGAGATGACGGGTGGTGAGGAGCTGGAGGTGACGGTGCGGCTCATCGATGAGGGCGCGCTTGTGCGCTGGCGGCGCGAGCCGCACGACTCTTCGCGCTGCAGCGTGCGGTGGTACGAGGGTGCTCCGCCTGGCGAACGCTTGCTAGCCACCAGCCATACCAACCACGACTATATGCTGGGTACGTCGCTGCTCTTCCTCTAAGAGCCTAGTTTGGGATCAGACGACCATGTATGAGATGTGTTTGAGGTTAATTTACAGTATTAAGAGTGAGAGAAAACTGGAAAATGATGAATTTGAACTTTCTGGGAATCTTGATCGTTCTCGTGGCACAGTTATATCGTAAGTCGCTCAATAGATCGAAGAACATTAGGCGGTAATTGAGTATCCGGGTGAATGTTGCAGTGGATTCAGCGGAGGAAGGCATGCGGTACTGGGCGCACGTGGCTTGCGGAACGGCGCACGGCGGCGCGGCGCTGCGCGTGCCCGAGTACTCGCGGCTGCGCAGCGTGGCGGCGGGCGCTGGCGTGGCGGCGCTGCTGCTGGCCGCGCTGGGCGCTGCGCTCTACGCCACGCGCCGCCGCCTGCGCCTCTGCAGCGCCGGGCGCGAGCCCTCGCCGCGCAACGACAAGCGCATGCGCTGATACCGCTTGACCGTCCGCGGTGGCTAGTTGCGAGCTTACGACTTAGTGTTATGTGTTGTGTGACCGCCGGATGTTTCTGTTGTTATTTATTGAAGAATGTACAGACTGTGAAGTGTGTATCGTTTAGTTGTTAAAAGTTAAGTAGTCGTTTTTCAAATAAAAAATTAACAAACGGACTGTTTATTTTTTCTTCATCTTCACGAACGGTCTACACACGCCACATTTATCACAATCAGCCAATTTAATGACATCGACGCTCACAAAACAGTCTGCAACGATAGACCAGACGTATAATAATAAAAAAAGGGTAATGTTGTCGGTCCTAGTGGTCGAATGAAACTAGTCCCACTCCTACTCCAAATGCTATGACCCCTATTTATATCTTTTGGAAAAAGAAGATCTATGAGAAGAAAGTTACTCAAGGATGAGTTCCGTATTTATTTAGAATTTTCATTAACCCACTCATATCAAGGAGTGCTATATTAATGATGTGCGTCAACACGAATTGAGATGTGGTCAAACCTCGACGTTTAAAGACTTCCTTGAGTTTAATTTGGCAACATTACGAAATACGGTTATTTCAAGAAGTAATCGAATACATCACGAAGTGGTCACACACTTACAGTATTGTACACCTTAAAAAGGTTTACAAAAAGTCCACGATGGTAGGTATATGTCAGCGGCGTGCACAGGATTATGACACTAGGTATGCGGCGGAGTAGTTGGTCACTTTTTCTTTTAGAGATTTTTAGCACAAGTCTTAGATGTACTACTATTCATGTACATCTTCAACGGGAACGCAGACAAAACAGCGATAGATCGTCGCGGCGGAAGAAATTCTAATACGAGTAAGTAAAATAATAGGCTAAAATATTATAACTACTCACCATGCATCATACTTCTTTGCTGCGGAATAGAAATTATTTAAATCTGAATATCCCGAATCAGTCCACACTGTACTAGAATTACTAAACAATATGCAAGGAAAGCAATATAATTTAATCGTGTGTACACAACCACACAGCCAATTATACGTTTCATAACTTTTAACTGTACTTGTAACTGTAACTCGGGTACACACCTACCTTTAGACACAATTTTAATCTTTTCACTGAATGGCAATTGTGAGAACTTGTTATTTTTAATTTTTAATAGACATACATTATCCACACATAACTCACAATCAAATAACATTTTTAAAAAATCAACGAATTTCAGTAATAAACTGTTAAATGTACACACTTTCAAATAAAACTATAATTATACTGGCGGAAAGAAAATAGTAAACAATGCTTATCACATGAAAAAATCAAAATGGACCCCGCGAACAAGAAACATATCTGCTAATTAAACAAATAAAACCTTACCATATTCAAAATTCATAATCCGCATACATGATTTATTATATTTCTGACTATTGTAATTGGGTGGATTTATAGGCAACTAACACTTCCGATTACTCCCGAGTACTCACGACAACGATTAGCGCGGGACCCGAACGGCCAACTGCAGTATCCTGCGGCTGTAGTCGGGGATATAAAATAAATGGGTGTGTGCGTTTGCGAACTGTGCACGGACACCAAAATTACTACACACATGCGAACAAATGTCCTGCGCGAGGCGACGGCATGAGTTGCTTTGCGCTTGCTTTTCGGTAAACACCTAGCAAACAATGTTTGTGTGGTGCTATTTTTAAATAGTAGGCGTTTTTAAGTTATTATATTTTGTTTTTCATTTATTTACTATTAATTAAAGTCATCTAAAACGTACCAACGTTTTATTAAAATGTCTGTGAATAGCAAGTAAAGCACTGCATTTCTGCCTACAAGGAGCGCACGCCCCTGGTATATGTCTATCTCTTAGGGATAACCCACAATAACCATTTTGTAACTGGTCGTTACTTTGTTCCTTTATTACTGGGGTTGCGTATATGTACAGAGAGAAATAATAAGTCTATGAACAACTTATTTAAATTTATTAATCACGACTGTATACAATATATATGGGTGTGCTGTAGTACGGTATACAAGACGACCACGGGACAACTGTGGTTCACAGCGCACTACAGTACCGATAACTCAAAACGTTGCGTCAGCATTCCCGCAACACTATTTCCCTCTTTTTTAAAAAAAATATTTATATATTTTTTTTTTTTTTACAACAAAATCTTAATTCTAATCAGTATATTTATCAAACAATATTTCTTGTGAATTTACTTTGTCACCAAAGGTGACATCATCTTCCTGCTCAATCAACAGTTTGCAACTTAATATGAGTACTATGCTATGTATTGTTATGCGATAAGCCTGTGAATACATTCCAACATTGTAATAGCGACAAAAGTTTTAACATTTATTATCACGCTATTTAAAATTTAGATATCAGCAGCGTACTTAAATATTAATTTACCATGACTTTAACACAATTATTTATTCTTATATTACGCATATAATATAATATGTTTGGGTTACATTTTGTTATCCTTTCTTGACATCGTTGTGGCCGGACACCAACAACACAAACCATGCAGCTTGTTCTATGACCGAATAGCAAAATATAACACACACTATTAAATCGTTACAAAATAATTTCAATCACATACACATTTAATAACATGAATGCACGACGATTTCTCGATCAAATAATCAGTAAACCACTTTATGAGGTGCAGACGTTCCATTATTAATTTGCGGCGGTTGCATAGTTTCTACCTTAATATTTGGTAAGGTTATACAACTAGCAACCATTTCTTTCTTCACCCATTTCCTGACGCCTTTAGCACATTTTCGTTTTAATGCATATCCAATCACTATAATCAGTAGTACTATAATAATTATCATAACGATACCAATCATATTCAACTTGTTATCTACTTGAGCTGTGCTGGATATATTTTCGTTAACAACAACTTTGTCCTTTGTCTGTAAGTTGCCCATTTCCTAATTAATCAACTACGACGTACAGGTATCAAACACTAAATGAATTTATAATACATTTTCTATTTCATATTAACACGTAATTATATAACCAAATGTCCTAGTTAAATTATTGTCTAATCAGCAAAATTAATTGTTACAAATACTTCATTGGCTTTTTGCTGACTCGTCCTGTTCTCGTAGTATAACCAAAGCTACTGGGTTCGGCTGTTTGAAAAGTTACTTTCTTCTGAACTTTTTGACAGACAGTTTTACCACTATTATCTACTACTTCCGGTTGTACATTATCCTCTGCTAACATAAATGCAGGTTTAAGACGGTCTATAGAAACTCTAAGTTGTCTGTCTGGCAATTGTACACAAAAAACTTTATCAGTTCTATTAATGACGCGATATGGTCCGTCGTAAGGAGGTTGTAACGGTTTCCTTACTGCGTCATTTCGAACAAAAACATAATCGCACGTATACAAATCTTTATGCACAAAAATTTTACGTGCTGATCTATTTTCTCTACTAGACGGTTTATATTCGTCAATAACTTCTTTTAACTTGCTAACGTAATCATTATCATCACACGATTTCACATTGCTTCCATCATAAAAATCATTAGGTAATCTAATATTATTACCATACAACATTTGTGCAGCGGTTACGCCTGTATCTAACCTAATTGTCGTGCGTAATCCTAACATTACAGTTGCCAGTTCATCTACCCAAGACTTATTGCTTAAACGAGCTGTAATTGCAGTTTTCAACGATCTATGCCAACGTTCTACTGTTCCATTGCACTGAGGATGATACGGGGTGGTTCTTGACTTTTTAATTCCCATTAATAACATTAGTTGTCTAAATAAGTTACTTTCAAATTGTCGACCTTGATCGCTTGTAAGTTTAACTGGACAACCAAAACGACTAATCCAACCCTCGTATAACGTCTTTGCGACTACTTCTGCAGTCATTTCCTTTATAGGAAAAGCTTCTGGCCAACGTGTAAATCTATCCACTATGGTTAAACAATACCTATATCCTTCAGTTGTGATTGGCAAAGGACCTATTAAATCTATATGTATATGCTCAAAACGTTTAGTAATCTCAAATTGTCCTAAATTAGATACTGTATGCTTCTGTATTTTCGCTCGTTGACAATTTATACATGTTTTGGCCCAATTACCGATGTCTCTATTCATATTTGGCCAAAAATATCTATCTGCTATTATTTTTCTACTAGCTCTAATGCCTGGATGGCTCAAGTTATGTATCGAATCAAAAGCTAAACGCCTAAATTGTTCCGGTAAATAAGGACGTATGTTATTAGCAGATGTTTCGCAAACAACATGCTTATTGGGTACATTTAAAGTTACACGCTTAAATATCAACTTACAGTTGTTATCCGATTCACTAAGAATTTTTGCAAGCTGTTCGTCGACTTCCTGCGCAACTGCCAGTTCTGCGAAGTCGATAATCGTGGGACTTGTTATTGTTTCAATTCTAGATAATGTGTCCGCTACAATATTATTTTGACCACTAATATGCCTTATATCAGAACTAAATTCACTAATAAACATGATTTGCCTGGCCCGCCTTGATGTTTCTCTATTTGTACCTGATTTCGTAAATGCAAAAGATAAAGGCTTATGATCAGTATAAATAATTAAATTTTGACCTTCAATTAAATAACGAAAATGAATTATGGCTAAATAAATTGCTAAAAGTTCTCTATCATACGTGCTATATTTCTTTTGCACTTCTGTTAACTTTTTAGAAAAATAACCTAAAGGTTTCCATTTGTCAGCAATTTTTTGTTGTAATACTGCACCTACGCAATTGTCTGACGCATCTGTCATTAATGAGAACGGTGTGTCTATAGATGGATAACCTAACAATGCAGCATTTTTAAGATCTTCCTTACATTGTTCAAAATTTTGTTCGGCCTCTATTGTCCAATTAATTTTACTTTTATCTTTACGTTTAGAAGAACTTAAATACTTATATAAATGTAATTGGTGGGCTGCCGAATGCGGTATGTGTGCTCTATAAAAATTTAACATACCCATAAATCTTCTTA